TTCCACCATGGTCCACGATCCAAGAACTCTAGTTCATTTCCAAGAAATGCTTAGCCAATCAACTTGCAGCTTTTCCATAAACTAGGCGCATGATAGATGCCCAGATATTCATGCGTGCATGGTTTGAACAGACTTTTGGAGAAACATATCGGAGCGCATCTATAATCTTCATGTGCAATCTAACCTATTATTTAAAAAAGCTAAAATTTTGCCCTATACATTAACGACATGCATCGTTAACGAGCGTGTTCTCACACTTGCGAATTCGTTATATGATAAACGCAAGAGAGGTTCGTTGTCATTTTTTTTCCTAGACATTTGTAGCTGTAGCGCCTTTGGTAGCAGCGGCGGCAGTGGCGCGGTAGCGGCTCGGTTGGAGACGTTGGAGTTACATCTGTATGTTACAAATCTTCCCGAGTTGTCAAGATGCTTTCGAGGATGTTGCAAAAGCCGTTAATCGTTGCGATTAAGAAAAGGTGACTGCGACAACGTGACATCGAATCATTTCGCGAAACCAAGCCGTAGATCCGTTATAACCTCCTTGTCCGTCTGAAGGAGAAGAAGAACAGTATACATTTAATATCTTTATTCTACGGAGAGTTTATCATATGTGTATTTTTATTTTTCAGTTCCACCTCGCGATATTTCAATGCCTGGCAGCGGTGTAACTTTTCCTCTCAAAGAATACCGCCCGATTTGAAGGATACGCAGAGGAAGAATGTTACGTCATTTCCACCGCTGACAGAACCCATCCCGAATTTGCCGAGAGCTGTTTATTCAACCGCGAAGGAGGAGCATCAAACGACGCAGATCACAGTCTTGCCAAATGGTTTGAAAGTCGCGTCCGAGAATAGATTTGGACAATTTTGCACCATAGGTGGTGAGTCGAGCGTGATCTCGTTATTATCGGCTAGATCCTGGATCTGTGTACAGACCGTTATACTAGCATCTCGATTTTCAGTTCTCATTGATTCGGGTCCACGACATGAGGTGGCATATCCCAGCGGCATCTCGCACTTTCTTGAAAAGTTAGCATTTAGTGTAAGATTCCTTCATTAAGTATTACTATTAATATCCTCACGTAAGCGTATTAAAGATTCTTGAACTGTACTCGTAACTGGTACTGTCTACTTGGTAATTTTAAACCTGTCAATAGACTACTCGAAGTCTTACAATTAATCGTCTCATTATATCACGGATGTGTACAAAACTACTATTATTTGTTACAGTCTACAAATACATTTGACAGCAAGGATAAGATAATGCTAGTCCTAGAAAAACATGGGGGTATATGCGACTGTCAAGCATCTCGGGATACATTTGTCTACGCAGCATCGGCGGAACGCCGTGGGTTGGATATAGTTACTCAAGTTCTAGGTGATATTGTCTTGAGACCTCAAATTACGGAAGAGGAGGTACGCTCGTTTAATATTCTACAAAAGGAATCACTGTCGCATCTTGTCTGTTAATTAAACTGCACCGCATTGGTAATAAGCATCAAACTTGAAAGAGTATTTATACATACGTATAAACCGAAGTTAAATCGTTTCCAGGTACAAATTGCCAGGCAAACTGTACACTTTGAATTGGAATCTTTACACACCAGGCCAGAGCAAGAGCCTATACTGATGGACATGATTCATTCTGTGAGTTGAAAATAATAGTTCTGGATATATCCTAGCAAAATTACAAGTTTACTTATTGCGAAGGAAAATATATATGGGTATGATATATCCGTAGGCTGCGTACAAACAGAACACACTAGGTTTGCCCAAGATCTGTCCAGAAAAGAACATCGAAAAGATTGATAGGAAAACTTTACACACATATCTCAAGCATCATTATGTACCTAATAGAATGGTAGTCGCTGGAGTTGGTGTTGAACACGATGACCTGGTTCACGCCGTTTCCAAGTAATATAGCCATAAATTTTCTATAGACGACAAGTAATTTACATACGAATTCATAAGTATCTGAAGTAATTTTTAAGTAGCTTATAAAAATAATTTTGCAGCTAACTTTCCGCTAGTTAAACACATTCTAACCATCCTTTTTACAAAGCACGATGTTGACGTAATATTACAAATATTTTTTCACGTAATAATAATATTATCTTCGATGTAGATATTTCGTAGATCAGAAACCCATCTGGGAGGAACAATCTGATCTTGTTCTGGGAAGTAACGCAAGTACTGTCGATATGTCTATCGCACAATACACTGGAGGATATGCTTTGGTATGGTCATCCACACGATAGAGTGTTACATTTGCTTTCATCGCGGGATTAAGAGAGACAAAGAACCTGTTTGCATCTTTTACAGGAGGAATGCAATGTGCCGATTTATGCGGGACCCAGTGGATTACCCGAATTGTCACACGTTGTTATAGGTTTAGAAGGCTGCTCCCATCAAGATCCAGATTTCGTTGCTATGTGTGTATTAAATATGATGATGGGAGGCGGTGGCAGCTTTAGTGCAGGCGGTCCTGGAAAGGGCATGTACACGCGTTTGTACACCAATGTATTGAATAGGTAATATATTTTTGTGCTTTCATTAGGTCTAAAAAGAAGAGGATTTACAATATAAAATATTTTATTCTATATATATTTTTTTTATCTCTTTCCCTATTAACTTTGTAACAAAGCGCTGAGAAAAATGTCGTGCCTGCACTGAATCGAGAGTTGTTTTAGGTATCATTGGTTGTACAGTGCAACCGCATACAACCATGCTTATGCAGACACTGGTTTATTCTGTATTCATGCCTCGTGTACACCGTCTCATGTGAAGGATATGGTAGAAGTGATTGTACACGAGATGGTCAACATGACCAGCGGAATCTCGGATAACGAATTAGCGGTATGATCTTGCTTCATGTTTCTGAGCCAGTTTTACATATTGAAATATCAAGAACAAAATTTTAGGAAATTAAGAAATATATAAGTTAGGATCTGACTTTTACTGAATGAAACTCATTATCTTAATCGTTGATTACGTCCTGAAAAATCTTATCTTTTATATAGAGAGCAAAAAAGCAATTGCAGTCGATGCTACTTATGAATTTAGAACAACGGCCTGTTGTATTCGAAGATATTGGTAGACAGGTTCTAGCGACTGGCTCGAGAAAACGACCTGAATACTTCATGCAAGCCATTGGTAAGCTCTTTGTAAAACTCTTCTTCCCGTAATTTCTTAAAAGTCCAGTTCTTTAATAACATTTATTTAAAAAACCCACGATATTTGCAGATAGAATATCTAAGGATGACATCAACCGAGTAGCGCGACGTTTATTGAAATCACCACCTTGCGTAGCGGCACGTGGCGAAGTAAAGTCTGTACCCTCCATGGCGGACATTCAAAACGGCTTGCTTGATTCACAAGGTCGGTTACCCGGTTTTCGCAGCAGACTATCACTTTTTCGTTAAAATCTTGGGTAACATGTTTGACCAAACTTCTCAGCGTAAATAAAGGTTACTTATCCACATTTAGTTATACATTAATGGAATACTGAACGTTCAATTCTCATTGAACTAAACCCTGCAAATGACACGAGTCGTGTTTTCACTTTGAAACAAAATTCAGATTACAAAAATAACTGAATTTTTTTTACACTAACGATGTTATAAAAAATTGTAACAGAACGGATATTCGGAGATTTTAATATAATGCAACGTTTCTTGTGTATATTATCTAGATTTTGTACATACGATATATGAAGGAATAAATTAGAAATAATTCGTCATTCAACAGCACAAGAGAAAGTAAAAGCTATACCATTAACCAGAAGGATAATACAAGATACAAAAGAGTTGTCTTAGACTGATCGCGTGCAAACTGTGGCGTTCAATAAATGGGTCCCCACAACAGAATCAGATGCGCGTAAAAATGAATTTAAGTTTTGGCATACAACAAAATTTAACTCTACATTAAACCAAATCTCTAATTAGAGGAGGTCAAATTGTATCTTGGCGATTACTTCTTCAAAATAAATATTTGTATAAATTATATACGCAATGATAATTAATAGATTCATCCACACTTGTATAGAATTTTCTTTATTCTTAGGTGATTCACACACATAGTCTGTGGATATATTGCAAAATTCCAGAATGAAGAACGGTTACACCTCTGCTTCCTCCAAAGTTTTGAGGAAAGAGGCCTTCTTCTGGGCCACACGATTTTTCCTTTCGGACAGTGACAATTTTGCGCGGTTCCACCTCTTTTTGATAGCTGGCTTTTCTCGCGTGACCTTCGTATGTTCCGGATTAGCCCGAATGCCTTCATGGGCCTTCTTGTATATATTCTCGATCTGTCAATGTAAAAAATTTCAATGTGATTTCAACAAGTTTGTCTACATAATAGCGTATATATGTACAGGTTTATATGAATAAATGCATTAATGTATGCATTTATTAATATCAACCAATACAGATTGCTGTTGTCCAATCGCGACGCTACACAGACTCGAATAATCTAAGTAGCAATTTTGAATTGGACGTATGTATTTTAAAATTATGTAAATATACATTCGCAATTGCATTGCAGTCGCTTACATCGTTCGCAGAGATACCGTGCTTGATATACTGTGAGAACTGCCTCTTGAAAGCCTCATCGTCCTCCTCTTCCAGCATTCTCATATAATTCGCGACATGCTGACCGAATATGTGCTGTCGGTGCACATCGGCGTTGAATGCCTTCGATTCGCTGTCGTAGCCAGGGAATCTCTTGGTACTGTAAAACAAAGCAACACGAAGTTACAAAAATGCAACTAAAATTACGTAACACGATAAATCATCTGTATCGAGATATTAATCCTACTTTATTTTGCATAAAATTTACACCAAATCATCAAACATAAAGACAAGAGCAAATAAAAAACTTAAATGGTGCGCATGTATCATGAAATCACGAACTACCATATGGATCTGTCTCGTCAAGCAATTGTGGCAGAATTGATTTAAGATTAACCTATTTTTCATTTAATTTTATTTACAAGAACGAAGATATATCTGAAGCTGAAAATATTAAATTGATACGATTAGATTACGTTAAAGTATAATTGTACTTTTCTATTACCTATGAGGGATATTAAGACCACCGTCGACTGCGCCTTTCATAGCGCCGAAAACTCGGGCGCCCGTCGTGGTGCGCATTAATCCTGTATCCAGGTAACATCTGAAGGCACCTGGACCGATATCCAATTCCTCGACGTTGTACTCGTCACCAGTCACGTCTGTGGTACCCACATACAAGGTGTCCAGCCCCAGTTTCTTAAGAAGCTATCAAACACATTTCATACGTTTGATTAACAATGATATCTAGATATTATTTTATACGAACATTCAAAAGTTTTTGCTAATCAGGGAACGTAACAAGTACGTAACAGGGAACAATTGTGTTTTCTTCATAGAAACATCAAAGCGAGCTGAGTGTGTCATCATATTAGCAATCTATCATGTATTTATATTTAAAAAAAAAAGAGAACAGACTTACCCTTCTGGCCAAGAGCAAACCGGTGCAGTAAGCAGACGCATAATTGGTAAGACCGACTTTGACTCCATATTTGGGAAGTTCGTGGCTGTAAGCAGCGCACACGATCTTGTCCCCTTCAATTCTCGAGTACGCAACCTTGAGAAATACATATGCAATATGTTATTTAAATATCACAATGATATTAGCCTTTAATAAATGTTATGTAAAGCATTATAGTTGAAACCATGATGTAAAAGTACATGTTCTTACATCGTGGTTGAAACGCCACATTCTCAAACGGTCGAGTCTTCATTTAACCGTGACTGAACTTAAGCAGGCCATCATTCAAATTACCTGGCAGGTAATATCCTTGTTGGACAAACGTACAATCAACCTGTACTTAGGTGTGTTGTACTTGTTCTTGTCCTGGATAGTCAACCGCTTGCGAGCGTAATAATCGGTCTTCCCTTCGCGGCGCCTCTTAAACTTGACCTGGTACCGCTTGAAGTACTGCTTATTCTTCACTACTTTGACGAAACCCTACAAGGAGGCACGCAAGTATTAGAACACGAGTGAAGATTGCCAGCTTCGGGTTGCATCTCTACCGTGCTCAGACTGCGTCGACAGGGATAAAGCTTTCATTTCATTATTGTATCAAAGTGAGCTGAAGATTTCATAGTGGAAAATTTACTCGCTGCTCGTTTCTTTACGATTAGCGGTGTAGTGAAATTAAAATTAAATACAGCAAATCCAGAATTTAATGGAGCGCGATATGACGGTCTTGGGGTGTAATAGACAAACCAAAATGCGCATCGTGCGCACTTTATATCGCACTTACACTAGATTGCGTGGGGTGGACTTGCGTCGTTTCGGCCTCAGGGGTTCGGTTCTTGAATCGTTCGCGAGAGAAACGCGTACGCGAAAATTCTGCTCTTACAAGAAAGTTGCAAGTTAATTGGCTAAGTCACGCGAACAGCCAATCACCCTACAATTTTTCGTGTACGTTTCTTTTGCGAATGATTCAAGAATCGAGTCCTTGGCCGATTTAGACCCGGTTTCACCAACGACGCTTTACTTTTAGCTTAGCTTCATTCGTTCTTTGTCCCTTTCTGTTACTTTAGGCTTCACCAAACGTCGTTCAACTTTAATCTTACAATTAGTTTAATTCAAGCTTCTTTCTGAAGCTTTATTTTTTTTTAGAATTAAGCTAAGCTAAAGTTAATCAACTTTGGTAAGACTCGGCCTTAAATTAAACGAAGTTGGTAAAATCAGCCCTCAGGCTGATGCCTAAAAAATGTCGTGTGTTCAGGTAATATATAGTGTTTCTGAATTGTGTGATTTATTGCGATAATTTGTGATTAAATAATTGTACAATCCTCACAATTCAAAATGAGATCAAGTAACAAATAAGTTAAAGCAAAGCGCGTGAGCTTAAACGTGGCGCAGAAAATGGAGCCAATTGCGAATTTTATATCGTAATACCGCAAAGTTCTTTTTTTATTAAGCAAATCATAAGAAATCCAATTTTAACGAGCTCTCAGCCATAACGGACACTCATTCTCCCGATCTGTTAAATGGAGGATCTCATCGTTCCATCTGCCGGGATATTCGTTACGTATGAAGATACTTGCCCGTTTCTTTCGCGCAAGGAAAAATGTTAACTATTCTTTTAGAACAGAAAACTCGCATTCAGGGGAGACAAATGGCGTTAAAATAACGCGAGGGAAGCGTGTGCCGACTTTTCCACAGGGACACCTTCTAACCACGCGGCAAGTAAATCCGTCTGGAAAATCGGCATCTCGCTTTCTCGTCGGCTCCCAATTAATCATTCTTGCGTATTATCGCTTATTTCATCGAATAAACATTATATTGAAAAGAAATTACTCACCATTGCGTTAAAATCACGCGGAGAATCCGACCCTCGAGACGGACCGTACGGAAAGAGCGAACGCGGCGTCACGAAAGGGACGGGAAAGACCGAGGAAGATGGCGGATAGAGAGGAAACTTCACTTGGAACAAGGCGACACTAGCGACAATCGGAGCAACCGGAAATCAGGTGACATAAGTTCGGTCGAGTTGGCGCTTCAATTCAAACTCTCATAAGATTATTTTTAATCGTACATATAAATTGCTTTTAATAAGTAACGTAGAATTTAAAGAGTTGCTCCTTACAGTTTAAAAACTTTCTCTCCTTCCTATTAGAATAAAAATTAACCTCTGAAAAAAAACGTACCTTGTGATTTCTTTATTCATTATTTGTACATGTTTCACTTTCTGTCACGTGTAGGATTAGACAGATTATAGTTTGTCTGACCAGTTTGTATATACATAAAATGTGACGCTATAAAGTTATTTGTGAGATGACCCAAAAAATATATATATATACATATATTTTACATGAATCGCAGTGTTAAAGTGTCTACGCTTTTTTCGCGAATTCGTATATGGAACGCATCACTGACATATCATCTCGTTCCACCAGCCATTGTTTGAGAAGACGTTCGATCCTCTTGGCATCAATCTGCAATTGTGCTCAATAATAATAATAGCAAAGGGGGAAACATTTTATACAGTTTGTACAACATAATTGTCATAAAAAATGATAAATAGTTAATAACAGGTACCTTATCTGCATCGATATTAGTGACTTTCAATCCTTTGATCAGACCAGTAATGTCCACAATCCATATCTGTTCGCAAATTGTAGCAAGCCACAGGTTGGATGTTAGTCGACCTATTATGTGCTCACTGTCGAAACCCGATCTGCAAATTAATAAATAAAACGCGTCAATATATAAAATACATGGTAAACAATCTCATGTTAACGTTTGAGACTCGACCTCGTAATTATGTTGGCTCGGTCAATGACCCAAGGTACTATCGTCCTCATATTTGATTCTTCTTTCTTCTCGTTTTTCGTATTTTTCATCTTTTCAAATAGCTGTAAGAGTCTGCTCTTAGTTTTCTCCGAGCCTACTTTGCTCGCATCTACTCTCTCTCTTTCCTCGGCTTTTTTCTGTCTCTTATGTTCCTTTTCTTCGTCCCGTGCGATATCGCGGTAATAACCACGCTCTTCGGACGATAGTTGCTTCCAGAAGTCGGTAATCTTTCTTGCAGCTTGGGCTGCTGTCAATGTAGGATTTTCATTTGCAACTAAACGCAAGACAATTATTAATATTGTAACTTTAAATGTTTTATATGTAAATTTTCACTACGTATACTTTTATGCAAGAACTATTGTATCAGCAAAAGATAAAGAATTTGGATAATGGCACACACACATATACATACCTTGTAATCTAACATGTTTTAGAAATTTAAGATCTTTGTGATCAACGTGAGTTTTATTTGGTTCTATCATTTCATCAATCTTATTATTCATGTTATCATCCGATTGTCTCTCAATGGCAATATCTGATTTTATATTTGTACCACCCTACCGTATTTGAAGTAGCTAATTATATCATAATTCTATGATACAATTAAATTAAAAAATTAACAGATGTTTTAAAATCATTAGTTGCATTAGAATTTTACCATAAGTCCAGTTACATGTCCCTTGCTCCATGCTTCTAATGTAACTTGCTTCTTTTCTTGGCTGTCCACTTTATCCTCATTTTTATTCATGCAAATATTACAATTTCCAGTTTCTTCTATGTCAAAATCCTCACCGAGGTCTACTACTGGTAGTTGACTTAAAGTTAGACGATCTTTTGCTCTGTAATTTACATCACTGATATTTATACAGTTGCCCATAGTTTTTTAATTGCATTTGAAATGTTGATAAATAATATGAAATAATTAATATAAAAAAATCAAGAACACTTCAAAATTTATATAGTAATTATATTTTATATACTAACGCCTTATCATTAGAAGTAACAAAGCTATCGTTTGAATCAGAATCACTCAGATTTGGTGGTTGCATATGGTTTGTTAAAGCCAATGCATCCTGGTAATGCTTCTGATCATGAATCTGATTGTCATTCTGTTCCTTATCTTGAGGTTTTTCACATCCGTTACCATTATGAAGTATTGGCTTCTCTTTAACATCTTCTTGAATAACTTTTTCTGCAGCGTATATTTTTCGTTTTTTGCTTACAGGCAATTCGGTGTCGGTTACCTTTTCATTCGCACTAGGTGTGTAATCTTCATAACAAGCAGACGTGTCTAACGACACGTTTTGCTCGGTAACTTCCGCAGATTTAAGTCCATAAAATTTCCTTATACATTTATCTACAGCATTAAGGACTTTATTCTACAATGTTAATTGTACAATTTGTAACATTACAATTACTGTATGAAAAAAAGTCTCCATTTAATTTTAAATGCAGTATTATTCACGTTTCTAGTATTACCTGATCTTTAAAAAAAATTGCATCTTTATTTGGTTCAAGGTTGACATCAACGTCCATTGGCCTCAAGGTGAGATGCACCAGAAATATTATTTTCTTTCTACATGACTCTTCAAAATGTTCTAATATCAGGCTATTTAGTAGCTACATATATTAAAAAAATATATTATATACTTTTACTATCCTATTATAGATATTATAAAATTCAAAAAAATTCAGTCTTTACTTTTGAGCTTAAATATAATACGTCCATACACAGAATATACCTTTTCAAGCCCCTTGTGCTTAATTGGTCTATTATTTACAAAAATATAGTGTAAGTCAGGATGAGAAATTTCTGACAAATCCTGTACTTTTCTCGAAGGCAACATTAATTGTAGAGTAAGCTAAAAATTTACCAAGATAAATAAAAGAGTTGTTAGACTTGTTAAACCAGACACATCTCCCTTAGTTGCACGCTCACAACTTTATGAACAATTTCTACACCCACCTCTTCATTCTTAAATTCAATCCATTCCATGTTGGACATAATTTTTCTGCCAAGTACATGATTCACAGCCTCTTTGATATTATTTAGACTCGGCTTCGTAAACATAACGTTATTGTTCACCCTGAATTGAATTCGCACGTTTGGTTTACATATCCCAAAGCACTGCATCAATATCTCCAATAATTTGACAGTCTGATTAGCCTTTCTCGTATTCGTAATTATTTGTCTTCTCACAGGCACTTGTTTAAATAAATTTCTCACTTGTACCGTAGTACCTAACATAATAAATTAATATACTTTTTCGGAATACTTGCGCCGAGATGTTACGACTACAAATATTACCGTACATAAAAGAATCTTAAGAGTTGCGAAGTTATTCTTACCGGTGCTTCTGTGGCAAGGTTCGCAGTTCAAAACTCCTCCATCATAATTCATAGTGTACGAGGCTCCAACGTTATCCTTCTCTGTTTTTGTTACAACGGTAACTTCAGCTACCGCACACACCGCGCTAAGCGCCTCTCCTCGGAACCCAAACGTTTGCAATGTATCTGCGATGAAGACAGAGATATAAGAATTCGCTTGTGGAAACTGCCACGACTGTACTGTAGTTTACAGAACATTTCGGCCTACTAACGTCCATTTCTATCAATGCAGATTGACTTCAATCATGGCTTAACACACTTTTTACCTTCTTCTAATTCTTAAAACTAGAAAAAGATGAAAAGTAAGTTCTACACCGAGATTAAAATTAACCTACGGTGGTGGAAACATATCTAAGGTCCGGTTTCACCGAACATCACTTAACTTTAATCTTGGTTTAATTCGTATTTGTCTCTTTCCGAAGTAACAGTTGGGAAGAAACAAGGAACAAATGAAACTAAGCTGAAAGTTAAGCGACATTGGCGAAAACCGAGCCTGAAATGTAGATTGAATATGCAAGCTCTACCTAGATCATCAAAATTTGATATTTTAGACGTGTAGGAAGGTAATCCCATGTAAGGTACATCCTCCTTGGATACGCCGTAACCATTGTCCTTTACCTCTATTAACGTTGTACCGTTGTCTACCTGAGGGAAAAGAAAAAATACGTGAATGTGTGACGAGTTCCCTTGAAAACAATACCATAGAGACACGTGAATCTCGGACAGCCAAATCTGTCGTGAGCAGACTCAGCTGTAAATTTCGGAGATTCAACAGAGTTTATCAACGGAATACAATTGGCAGACTGATTGCGGAAACCGAACGGAATTTGCCGTTTCGCAAACCATTAAACGGAACGTGTCGTTGACGGAAATGACAGATTCCGCTCGGTTTCTGCCGACAATCCGCCGTCGGTTTACATCAGGTGGGCAAAGTGTGCAGAATTTAATGCGGGCGCAAATGAAACTGAACGCATCTTCAGTACTGGCGGTGAATATCGGAGCGCAGCCTGAATCTGTCGCGACATTCGAATGAGTCGTTTGTCATCACCGAGGGCCGGTTTGTTTAGCGAAAGTATATTACGTCAGCTGTTACACACAAGGTTGATCTCGATGTTGTCGGCGTCGGCGTCGATGGCGTTCTCTATCAGTTCCTTCACCACGGCATACACGGACGTTATTATCTGCGTGGTGGTGATTAGCTTCACCGTTCTCACATCCAGTGCCGAAATCGGCATCTTCGCGTGCCATCAGTTGAATGAACTACGCGCGCGTGGCGGTCTTGCGAGCGCGCGCTGACACGGATGCGTGGAACAGCAGCGTTTTGTTCCTCGACGCCGCGCCACGCTGCACTTTCTGCACTCAAAACGAAACGGAGATATGTGTGTGTCGCGCGATGGAGAGAAAAAGTCGAGTGCAGCTGAAAAGAAAACAAACGTAGAACAGGTGCAAAGGTGTGCTCTCTGTTGCACTCTCTGTACTTTTTGTCCTTTCCTCTTCCTCTCTCTCTCTCTCTGACGTCTGATAATCCTGTCCTATTTCACTTTTAAGCGCAGAAAGTACAACGCAGCGCTGCGAGTGCAGAAACAAGCGTGTGGCCGTGTGGCCAAGGTTTGTTTGACAATGAGATTCCAGACGTAAATTTCGAGGTTAGGTAAGGTACATGCCGCGAGCTTTTAAGGGTCGCGAATCAATCGAAAGGAAAAGAAGCCGGCAAGGACACATGGTGCATGTGGAGACAAAGTTAAATTCTGTGAAAACGTGCGGAAAAAGGTAGAGATTAGCGAGTCAATGCGCAAGAACAATTGTCTCGCGGAAACCGAGGGGGAGATCGGCAAACGTTGAGAAACGTGCACTATGTATATTTAATTGTTAATGTTATTGTTAATTAAATTCCAGCGTCGCGTCGTCGTCTCGTGCGGACACGCGAATGCGTTGCGGTTAGAAAACGCGCGTCTTTAACGTCACCGCAGGGATGGAGCGGTTCAACATGCAGGTCTTTCTCGAGCTGAAGTCGTGCTGCGACAATCTGATAAAGGATCCGAGTATAGATCACGCACGCAGAATCGCGGAGGTAGCTGAAAATATCCCCGACAAAACCCTGCAAGATCTGTCCGCGTACTGTCTGTTTCCCATCATCGCCAACCTGCAAGGCAATTCAAGGTAATTCAACATTTGCGGTATCGCCGTAACTTATGCTGCGTGTAATAGAAACGTGATTATGTATAACATACATTTGGTGCTTCCCGTTTACCGACACAAGTATCGTTTATCTTTGTTGTGCACTGGAAGTCGAAACAAGACTGATGCTCGTGTCACTTGTCTCGCCGACTGGAAAGCATTGATTGCTATGTCAATGATGTAACCAACAATATGTGATCTGAAATATATGTATTTCTTTATGTAGTACGAGCGTGAAAGAGGAGCTGATAAGGACACTGAGAGTTTTAATACGAAAGACTAAAATTACAAAACTGAAACTCTTCTTCGACATCTATGGATCTCTGTTGATCCAGATTTTTGACAAGAATCAGCCGAATCAGGGTATGAAGACTAGGTTACGTCGATGAACTTGTGTTTTTTGTAATAATTTAGAAAGATAGTCCAATTATCTAATGTGTAATCATTTGAATTTTTCCCAGTGATCTTGTTTCACGAGGAGCTCAAGGAGGCGGTAGCTTTGTGTATTAAAGATCTTGTCCATCAATGTGTTACCGATGTGACAGAATCACTTTATACCAAGGAAAATGTATTGAAACTTGGCCAAGCAATATTTTTATGTCTGACAATAGCAAGGACTGAAAAGTCATATTCTGTGAGGTGAACATTAAAAGAAATATATTGAGCATTATATAGCATAAGTTTCAAATGCATCGCAGCTTCAAATGGGACAAAGCGTCCAACTGGTTTTATCACAACTGCATTTTTATGGGAAGAGATTGTGAAATTCCTTACCCAACCTCTACTTTCATTTGTTTGCAAGATTTATTTATTACCGTTTAGAAGTTTTTGCTCAAGGAACGCCGCAATATCACATTTTATCACTTCCAATTTTAATATTTATCTCTGAAGAAAATTTGTGCTTTCAGTGATTTTATTTTTATCACCGCGAAATAGTTTTCCATTCAAAAAATTTATAGTATTGCATGCGCACGATGGAGAGTCTGGGAATTAAATTCAAATCTTTTGCTATTTTGGTAACGAGTTGTCCGGTATTCCTGCCTTGTAATGTATCACCGCAAGCTGTACATTTGTATTGATTCAAATTAATTATTGTTAGATTAGCTGGAATAGATGCGGTAATGGCTTTGTGCCATATCGATGACGAGACTGATAAATCCGACATCATTATGCAAGATCAAGTGGCAAACACCATCATGGCATTTTTCCCTGGTATTGTCAGCGGACTACAGGAAATTGCAATGGCAGGCGAAGTACAAAATCATATACTTACAATGGTAATACATGATCCTCGTGTATACTTTCAAGACATTTGAGTGATCTTATTTAAATTAATTTTAAGTTGTACAGTAACTAAATATTGTAGATAGCAGTTCGAGCGTGGGGTAGAATCATATCTCTTGTAGTCCATGATAAAGATGAAGAAGACACTGAAGAAGACATATTGTCTATAGAAACACTTGTGAAAAAAGGTTGCAGTGTATCCACTGACGCATCACATAGTGCTAAACAGAATGGGAAATGTGACATAGAAAATAATTTAAAAGGAGCTACAAGAAATAAAGTATGGTTTGAAGCCGTTGCTGTTAAGCTTGGCGCTTGTATACAACTGTTAGACCAAATTAGGAGCCATTCGCATTACAAAGTTAAGAGAGAACTGGTTGAAAGTATCGGGCTTATACTTGCAAATTGCCGCAGGTTACGAATTTCTCTTTCATAAACTTTTCTGTACATTTTTCTTTCTATATTTTCATACTGTCTATATCTGTGAATAAATTTACGTATATTTTATATAGGAATATGAAACCAAACAATATGCCATTAATAGATCATCTGATTTCCCTGTCTGAAGACGAATCCCCAGAAGTTAGTGAAAAAGCGCACAATATTTTGCAAGCAATAAGCGAAAACTACATGCAAAATTGCGATACGAAATCACTGATTGATTCATTGGAAGATAAGTTTTACAGCTTACTTACAAGACTGCCCACAATTATCAGACGATCAGGTGAGATCTTTCTCTTATTGAATAAAGTTAAAAGTTTGTTATTTTGTATTGCTATTAAACGTAAATATGAAGATAAAAGCTTATTACATATATCCACCTCTGTATTTTCCAGATGACAACGAACAATTGGCATACTTGAATCAATTCGCCGGCTATTTAAGATTATTTGGAAAGCAAAGACTGCCTCATATTATGAGGTCCCAGGCGCATATGCAAAGATTGCTTTTAGCTCTTGTGTACATTATGGTCATAGATTGCAACAACGTGTCTCTTCTACAGACAGCAAATGTGAAAAATTTAGATGATCCTGCATATTTCTACGGATCGGATTTGTGGAGGCAGTTTAAGTTTATTAAAAATAACTTATGTAAGAAGAAACTTGTTACAATATGCAAGCTACTTGGAGAATTTGGGGATCTTAGGATACTAATTGACACTATTTTCGAACTTATGGTGGATGCACCACAACACAGGAAGGAACTGAGTTTACTACTTAACTGGATCTTAGATAATACAGGTATATATTTATAAAATAAAAAACTAAGGTAGGTTTATAGATAGTTTTGATTTTCTTTGTTTCAGTTTCTATAAAAGATTCGTCTTCTTCATATTTATATAAGGAAATCATAGATTTTTACACAACGCAGGAAGTATGGTACTTGCCTACAGAAGTAACTGAAGATACTCCTCTGGTGCAGGCACAGAGCAATATAGTGCAGTGCTGTCTTTTGACAGAAGGACTAGGCCTCATAGCACAAAATTTACAACACGGCTATGATAGATATCTTTTAAAAACTTTGTATTTAATTATTGAAAGGGCAGGTATGTCGTTAACGGTCGAAGAGCTCAAATCTCTTTGCGTACGAGTAAAAACGAGTAAAAATTGTCGGTCATTTCAGGCAGTGGAAACGATTTAATCAGTTACATCGGAGTACGTACTCTCGAAAATGTCGCGGAGGCGCAACAACATAAGACGATCGGTGATCTGCTGCGTGCCAACGTAGATTACTTTTCTTATCACATTATAATGAAATTACGCCAAGTGGATCGCAATCCTGGCGTATTCGACGTTATCAAAGTCGTTATGAAGTATAGCAGATTAGATTTTTTGCCGTACCTAAAGGGAATTGTAGAGGATGTACTTGGGCAACTAAATACTCCTCATCACCAAAAAGATACCTGTTCGTTCCTGAAGATATTTCACACGTTCATCATATGTATAAAAACGTTAGTAAACTGGGATGGTACAAAGGCAACAAGAGAGGAAGATGCGAAAGCTACAAATAATTCTTCGGAGACGATAATTCTTTCTTTGTTAGAATATTATAATGCAAAGAAGATTGATGAAAAAATTGAGGCTAACATTGAAGAGATAGAATCGGACACAAATATACCGGATACTGAGCTACTGGAAGAAACGAGTGAGGATTACTCAGATCCCAGTGCAGAAGGTAATGGAAATTTTTATTTATATTTATAGAGTAAAATTTCTTTATTGCCCACACTGTATGTTTCAGGCGAGCAAGAAAAAAAGTTACCAACCCATATCAAGATAATTATAGAAGTTATGAAGCGTTGTACACACTTTCTATCCTCGAAGGATGTACAAAAATCGCTGATGGCAATGCGAACGCTTCAAGAGGGTCTACCGATTCTAATCGAGTGGGAGAATCAATTACTGCCTATTGTGCATCAGTTGTGGCATCCGCTGACCAATAGATTTAACGATGAAAATGTTCTCATAATTAACCATGCGTGGCAACTCTTGCACGTACTCGCCGAAGTATCGAATGACTTTATCAGAAGCAGGACTCTACGGTAATCTAATAACTTGTGCATTTAATTGAATAATATAATTGTAGAAAATCAGCCAACACACACCTAGTATGTATGTATTGATTTTTATACACGATCTAATATATGTAATTGATCTTTTTCACATATACAGAGAAGTATTGCCATCTGTATCCAAGTTTCTGACCGAGGCTTCCAAGGAAAGTATTGATAAGAGCTCAGTAAATGTTTACAAATTTACACAAACTTACAAATCTCAGTACGAGTTGTTATCTACATTGGGAATAATCGCGCGACTCTTGAAACTGTGCGAGCACGAGTTATGGCAAATATTAAGTAATACACAATCATACCTTAGTGCACGTCAACACACCGCATTACAGGTAACGTCAAGGTGGAAGAAAATATATTCTTGCGTGTCCAGAAACGTTTCTAATCACTAATTAATTAACAGGCGTGCTGTGTGAAATTGTACAAAGATATTGCTGATTATAATGAGGATATTGCATGGGTGAAGTGTCTCAGTATCTGGAATGTAAAAATTGCACGGATAGTACCTGATGCAAAATTTGATATGAAAAATCTGTTGGTACGTTAGCATTTCTTATTATAAAACACATTTTTTTGTGGTTTATGAATTAAAATGTTGCATTACTTTTCAGATCCCAGATGATGCTCTGCCAAATGAATATTACAGAAATGTAAATGAAATCATTACATATATCCAACAGAAGAATATCCATTGTTGAATACATTAAAAATATATAAAAAGTAATTAAAAAATTGTAATAGGAGCCTTAAAATGTGATAAACAAATAGTATAGATAAAGCAAAACCTCTTTAAACGACGTGCTATTCAATTACAAAATAAAGGCGCATGAACAAGGCGCATAAGATATTAGTCACGTAAAAAGTAGAGATTGTTACTTATTCAAATATTTATAGATTTATCCATGTCAACCATCCATGTGTGACAGAAATTTTTATTTGTATATAATTCTAACATTTTATAATTATATTTCCACATTTTACAATAACTTACATATAATTATACTTTTTTTTTACTATCTACAAGCAATATATTATAAAACAAAATGTGTTAAGGTGCTCTGTGTATGTATATGTACGTACATTTATATATATGTAATATTGTATACATACATACATATACATACATTATATATAGGTACGTTTGATATTTACATATAATCCCTCCACTTTCAAATTAACTTCAATATGAATGAATATTACATTCTTTGCGCACGCATACACTACATACATACACACACACACCTCAATATAAATTTTATATTATTTCCAACATCTTTTATGCGCGTTAATAAATCGTTTTTGTTTGATTTTAAAATTGAATTTGGAAAAGCTAATTATATTACTAATTAGATTTTGAATTAAAAATTCTTGCATATTTCCCTAGTCTAGTGATTGCATAATCACTAATTGAAATAAAGTTATTTCTACGACAAATGCATGTATAAATGCAAATAATTATTATATAAGACTTCTTTTTAACTCATCTTGAAGTATTCTCAATTCTAAAGTGTTTTTATTTTTGAAGTTATGCAAGTAATGAATATGTGATAGCTAAAGTAAAAATTGTATGTATGTTATATACATAATAACTATTTTCCAGTTTTTTAAATAGTAACATAACTTTCGTATCTTTCTAAATTCACTTTTCTTTACATGATATTTCTTTCCAGTCTTGTACGATAGTGTTCTGTTATAAGAAACTTTGCAGAAAATTTGAAATGTATAAGTATGTAAACTGCATGAATATTTTGTATGTAATATATCGTTACAAAGAAATACCTATAAATTACACAGAAAACAATGCAAAACATCGTTGTTCTAGACTACATTTTGCAATCGAGAAAATGAAATTATTGATATATCTGTTTATGATCATATTTAATATGACAGTCACTTTTTTTGCGTATCAAACCAATATTTATCTCTATTTAGCATTGCTCAGTATTAGATTTATATTTTCACTGCATAAAATTCATTATAAACATAATTTTATTTATAGTTTATAAATTGCCGATTGTTACTTTGATTTATGTAGTGTACAAATATCGAAAGAAATCGATCTTTTACAGAAATTGCTACATAATTAATAAAGAAACAATTATACTTGAGCATGTTATCAGTTGCTTTAATATAGTTTAACGATCAATGATCATGGTCCACTCTCGTCGTACATTGATCCTAACACACTTTGAAAGATTCGAACCATTATCGCACATGTGCGTTCTGTACCAGATTAACCAAATAAAATATATTTTACGTATTTTTTTATTTAGGATGCAAGATTGAAAGATTTTCAGATAAGGTAATAAAGTATTAGCATTTACCTTGTATTTTAAAATTAGCTATTTATAAAACAGTATATCTTACAAGTTGTTTTTAGGAAAAATTCTTGCCTATAGTGAACAGATTCATAAATATTACACAATTCTAAAAAAACAAGGCATCATTTCCACGCTTGCTTTTGAGCTTTTTGGGATGCTAATTTTTTGGTGACGTACGATGAGATCAACAGCGCTGCGAGTACTATCACAATAAGATAATAATCAAAGTCCTCTTTTAGGACGTCGAATGTTTTAGACGGTGCCACTCTTGTGTAAAACAGGTCTGCAAATGTCGCAATCATTTTGTGTTACAAGTCGTTTGTAAATATACGTGTCTAAAAGTACATTAGTATGTTAAGTACATTAATGCCATACTCACCAAGACCATGTACAAAAACTAAACAAGTACTTTCAAGGCCACTGGGACTAGTGTGAATACCCATAACCCTAGAAACGCTTTGATTATAATTAATAATAGCATCCATATGGACTGGAATCTCTGGCATGTATGGTATGACCCCTTCTTCTCGCATTTCAGGATTAATAGGCCGTCGTGGATCCACCATCATCCACGGCAACTCTAATATTCCACCATTGGCTAAAGCGACTGTTAAAAATACATTAATATAATTAAATGTATCACTTGATTCACATTTGAATATACTCAGGTAATTGAGATTGGATTTTCCTTTCACTTTGTTGAGCCAAAATTTCACATACCTATTATATGTTTGCTAGTGATACCCTTTTCTGTGATTGTTTCCTGCATATAATCTATAGATGCCGGAAAAATGAAAGCTTGTCTTTCTACAATTGGCAATTTTGTTGTTGCTAAAGAAGAGAACACTGAAACGCACAATAACTATAGTAAGTTATTCTAAATTGACACTACATATATCTATTTTGGAAAAAAAGTCATTGTTCAAAATTAATTTGATGACACGCTAACCGCTCTAATCGTTTACTTATACCGGAAATTCTAATTACAAATAAAAACTATGCCGAGCTATCTTTATATAAATATTTTTTAAAACAAAAAGTGATTCTATATCTTAGAGATGCTAATATTTTTCCTCTGTAAAATGTCTGTGAATATCTTTCCTAGTTAAAATAACCAATGGAGAAACAGACACAACCAATTGACATTAAGTCTTTCTTTCTCCCGTGGTGCAGATGCGAGCTAAGAATGTGATCCTCACCTGTGATGTTGCTCTGTATCTTTCCTTCGTAGAGTTCTAACGTAGCGATTTCTGTTCTACGTCCCTTCTCACTAAAATAGCTGTATACCAACCAATTTTCCGAGTGCACAATATGGATTGGACCACGTACTCTCTTGTGCGTAATAGAAAAAATCATAGCCCCAGATACTACGTCTAGTAGATATAAATTAAGCGTACCTGTGTAATAAGAAAACATTAAACAAATAATACCGACTGATTTGCACGATAATGAACAGGGTATATGCTTACTCTTATGGGCATGTCCAATGCCTTCTGTCACTATGGCCACTAAATTAGGATTAATGTATTTATACAATACTGATCTATCACTCAAGACTCTCCCTTGCGAGTGCACACGTTCTATTGGATTTTTCGCTACAACCTGCGTTATTCTTTGGTTTCTTGGCGACAGCAGCAGCTCCCACACTTTGTGAGCGATTAACTCCTGCACCGAGCATTAATAATGAAATCGATGTAAATTTGTATGCTAATCTACGTAACAAACCTGAGTTGTGCTGTACGAAAGAGAGAAGCCGGATAATATTCCCGTCGTTTGATCAGCGGTGAAGAGATACGTGTTCTTCCCGAGCGAAGCCGCAACTGCGGTAGCGCTGTCGGGATATACGTGAACTTTATCCCGTGCATCAAGAATGAGGATACCGCGTAGGAAGTCGTCGGTCGCTACATGCAATAACATAGACTGCTTTATTTTGTAACCAAGTTTCACCAGCCCGTCCAACGACTGTCCGGTAATCGGATTGAAGGTGTATATAACACCCTCTCCGGTTTCCTGTTGTAACGGCAAGGAGCGACGTCAGATTCGAGATAAATATGAAATTAAGGGTCATTCATCATCGAGCGTGATACGTAAATGCGCAGCTTACTTTATCTTCCGCTAATAATGCACATTGAGGTGGATGAGGAAAATGCCTGCTGCCCCTTTGCACGTACAGGATCATCGTGTTAGACAGCTTCGTGAAACCGCGGATGTTGGGCAGCCTGAGCTGCCAGATAATTTCACCTTTTCTGGTCTCAATACCGTACAACTGCAAAACAATTTGTAATGCAATGATTTGTAGCACGGGATGATCGCGCATGGACTCGTACCTTCCCGGCGGATGTGACGGCTACGATCATTTTGTGCAAGCCGAACTTATCTTGCACCAGATCAATACGTTGATTGGACTGCTGAGGTACCAAATCCAGTATCGTTTGAAAGAACGCTCTGGCTTGATTAATCTGCGAAGTGATCCTTCGAAGAAACATACTTAGCACGTCCCCTGTTTAAAAGCAACACAGCAGAGTTAGTGAAACGCATATCCCCGAATGACTACTATTAAAATCTGTGGGTTGGATGATACAGTAGAAGGATATTTAAAAAAAAAAAGTAGACGACAGTAGCCTAGGAGAATAATAGCAAACTGCGTATGCTACGATTATCAAGCCGTTGGTATTGCATTATGAAATCTTTCTCAGCAGGTTCAACGACTCTACAATTGTAGAAGTCGTAAGGAACTTTTCATGCATTTTGTACAGCTGGTTATCATGTATCAATTAAAATTGCTACGTTATTTGCGCCAACAATACTTTGTCACATCCGAACTCAACCATATCGCGCGATTATCCAACGTGGATATTTTATTTCTTGCAATATTTCATGCAGACAACGATATAATAATTGTATTATTTTTTTTGTTTGGAGATGTCCTAGAACGATCAAACGTATGTACATCCTACACCTTTCAATATCTTTAGGAGCCTGTACATCGCAAATGTTTTACACCATGCAAATGTAAGTCTGTAAATAGCGATAAAACAAAGTACTGCATTAAAACCAGCCTTCCCGCTCCACTACTTACATGAACTGTCTACATCAATACCTGCCAGCAGCCATTCACAAAAGAGAGTTAATTAATATAACTTAACAGGTAGGTTTACGTTATTAGAAATTGAATTGTTGTGTGTTGTGCCGATAAACGGTATGTCGTCTTAATGTTATATATTAATTAAAACAATAAGCTTCTCCGTAGCCTCCGAATGATATTATTGATGCAATTTAATTTCTAGGAGAGAGCGAGCTGTGACATAATGTCTCTGAAGCACGAGTAACAGCGCGCTTCACACATTTGACCATATTAATGGCCATTTAAAGATATATTATCTTATTTCTGGCGTAACCTATCACTCGGATATAATAACGGGAACATGTAAGATCTGTATTACGCTATATCAGCGGAGAGTTATGTATAAAATATCGCATAGAAAATATTCAAATTCAGTGGCGAGAGGTAAGAGAAATCCTCTTCGGTTGGATTTATACTTGATAAACGTGTACATGTGACTTTACTTACTCTCCTTCTGATCGAATTCCGTCTCGATAGCTTGATCCCTGTCGGACATGGGCAATTCCATAATTTCAACGGCCACAATGCTGGCGAGCGCCTCTTCCCTTGCCCATACCAGCTTATTGTGTTGCAACAGCGCAATGGTGTGATCTTGCGAGGACAACAAGTGACGGCACGTTATCCCTTTCGCTTGCCGCGGGCAAACGGATGCCATTATGGTGGGTGATTGTATAGAAGCGTGGGTCAAAGTGACTGATAACTCAGGTACGAGCGCGGACGATAACAGGTTTGTAGCCGTTATCTCTATTTTCTGGAAGCAAACGGGGAAATGTGTGAAAAAAAGCCGCGCCAATAAACGCCTCCAGAAATAGGAGGGAAACAAGTTACGGTATTTACTCCATTTTTGTACGTCGTCTCCAAGAGTATCTTCTCGTTGTCGACGGAGACAACGTGAAGGGTCGCGTCACCGGCGATGTCTCTCTGTATGGGAGTTGGAGACTCTCCGATAACTAAAATCCGCTTTCGCTGGTCATTATCGGCATTAATAGAAATTACAGGTCCTTCCCCGGGCACAGACTCCAGTTTATACGGTCCTTGGGCGCCAGCCCCAAATATCGTGTTTATCGTGACTGACTGTGACTGCGCATTCGTGTCGAATAGATGCACTAGAAATACCACAGCTAGGGAGCTGTCTCCCTTCAAGCACGCCAAGTAGGGAGCCGTTAGAACACACCTGAGCGAAATTACAAGCCACTTTAAATGTCGAAGTGGACAACGCATTCGTAAAAGGGGGTATTTGCGGAAGTGGCATCGCGAGGTAAATAAAGTTAACGTGCGAATGTAATGCGCGGCAAGGGGAAAAGGTGAATCCCAAGATTGCTCACTCTGTTTCTCGGCTTATAAATGACGCAGAGACCCTCCGGGTCTTCAACTTTTCACCGGTCTTGCTGTCGTAAGACGTTACCTCCACTCCGCTGTTATAAATGGGTAATATGTGATGCAACGTTCCATCTTTGATGTGCCACTTTACGTCTTTTATCCTGGAAAACGGTAAACTGTATCAGTCAGCTGTACGCGCCTGAGAGAACTATCTGACACGTCAAAACATTTCCACAGCCTCGTTAAACCAGTGACGTGTAAAACATTGCATTCGTCGTCGCAACAAAAACATCATCGGATAACTATATCCCATTGTGTGTATGCGTGTGTACATTACTCGGACGTGGGTGACGGCCCGAATGAAAATACAGGGCACTGAGACTCAAGCGAGCTAATTTGCAAAACGGCACAGAGTTACAGCTAGAAGTGTACGGAGCGTGTGTCATTGGCAAATGTGCTTTGAATAAAGATGGAAAGACCTGTCAGCGGAGTACAAGCCCAATGTGGTAAACGATATAAACGGAGACGCGTGTCTGTAAAAGCAATGGATTACATGAGCCTTGGGCGCATTAAGGTCCATAGAGCTTCTAACAAGCTATTTAGATACACATTTCATCTCTATCTTCAACCTCCGATCCGTTATTGACGAAACGAGAAAAAGGTAATTGTAGATCTCTCGTTGAGGATCACTGTTAAGGCAAGATCGCCCCCTGTTTAAAGTACTAGGTGGAACACGATCGGACGACAAATTACATTTAATAAATAAATAAGAGTCTCATTTGATTACATTGAAATTGCATGTAGAGACTCTTATTTATTTATTAAATAAGAGTCTTATTTGATAAATAAATAAGTGCAATCCGATCATACTCCGTTACTTCAAACAGGGTCCTCGTACGTCTACGGGTGGACACTGCGATAAATAGTTCCGTACAAACCTGTCGGAGTTCGGCTCGGCAATCGGCCACTCGTTAAGTATGTGCCCGGTCGCCAGGTCCCAGGCGCGGACGATGGCCGGGACGCCGCCGCTCACGGATATCAAATCCCCGTCCGCGACACCGCCTAGGGTCCTGATGTGACCGCCATAACCTTTCTCCAGCACCCGCCTCCATAATATCTGGCCTGTTGAACATCACGCGAGGCGTCGTTAACACGCGCTCCTGCCGACCGAACGAGTCGCGTCTCGCGGCGTGCGACGACGCTCGGCGGTAGAGCAATATTTAATTCATGATATCGAACGCGCGCGAAGATGTGCTTAATCATCGCGATCGTCGGCGAGAGAGCGTGAGTGCCTACGGGGCCGGCGGGTGAAACGGGGAAGGAAATCGTCCAGTGGACGGTGCGAAAGATATTAAAATGAAAAGAAATAAATAAAGGAAGGACCGAGAGAGAGAGAGAGATCGTAAAGCGCTTTTATTTACCCGACTTCAGATTAAGCGCGGCAATAACGTTCTCCTCGGTGGCGACGATTATCTTCTTCGCCGTGGACACCGTGTCGAAGCTGGCGAACTTGATCCTCCCGACGTAGTTCTGCCTCCTGGAAACATGCCGCGAACGCGATTAACCCTCCCCCCTCCTCCTCCCCGGGGCGCGACGGTAGCGGGCGTAGAGCGGGTGCTCGTGACAGCGTTCCCACGCTATCTTCCCTTACCGCGCTCTGCATTATTTAGCGGCCGCTTCGATCACTTACCAATCGAATTTGCCGACTTGGTCCTCGTAGAGGCACAGGGAGAAGTTGAACAGGCTCACCAGCACGATCAGGCACTGCAGGATCGGCGCGTTTACGAGGAACCGGTTGAGGTTACCGCGGAAGGACCACGCGCACGGGGCCATGGCGATGACTCCGCTCGGCTCCGCTCTGCTCTCCGGTCCGGCAGGCGCGCGAGAGGGTATCCGCGCGACACGCAGCGGTTCGCTCGCCCCCCTTGGCACACGGTCTCGCTCTCTACGCCCTGCGCTCTCTCTCTCTCTCTCGATCGCCTCGCTCGCGCACGTATACGCGGCGCACCACACCGACCGACGTGCTATAGAACGACGACCGTACGACAACGTTACAACGCCTGTACGACGAGCGCACCCCGCGCCGATCGTCGTCCCCTCTTCTTCCTCCCCGGCTCGCCTCGTCCGCCCCACGTCTCGCGCGCGCTCCTTCTCTGCCCCGCGCCGTACAACGCGCGCGCAACGAAGAGAGAGAGCCAGGCGGGCCGCGTGGCCCGAGCCCAGGGCCGGCCCGCCACGCTGGAGCGCCACGCGCCCTCGCGCACCCACGTGCGCGCGCGTACGGGGTATTTAAATTCCACCGCGGAAACGTTCGGCGGGTCAATTCTGTATCTTCACGCCGTGGCCGGGATTCGTAGTCGACAGAAATATTAATAAAGCGTGCCAATTTGAAAATTTCAGGGAGAAGGAAAAGATATTTATGCGCATCCCTCTGCGCAATGACAATGAATTAATCTGTTGATTCCACCATGAATTTGTTGGAGTGAAACCTGCTTAGCAGAAAATTCATCGTTAGATTGTCTAATCGTTGCGAAAAAAGATTGGTGATTGAAAACCTGCTGTCTCGTAACAGAGGAACTTTCCTCTACTGCTAAAATATTCTCCGCCTGGTACAGAGAAGTAAATTTTATAAAATGTCACAGGGATGCTACCACTTTCAAAGGGGGGAAAAGATGTTTCAAGAATCAGAAGAACAGGACAGATATAAGTAGCTAATAAACGTTATAAACTACTCGTGATGATTTTACTGTATCGTTTATTTGAAAAAGTTGTTTTCAAAATACATGTAAATAAAAAATAAATGCTTCCTAGTGCCATATAGAATATGCGTTTATGCAGTCATGTTACTCACATTGCAATTGTCATTGTTAATGCATAATTTTTCCACGAGGAAAACGAGATAATCGAAGTTAATTTCGAGGCCACTATTTATTACCGATTCGCTATCAGGTCGACAGCAAAAGAGTGCATTAAACATGGAAAGTACATCGGTTGTAGAAACGTACATTTTTTTTTGTAAAGTAAATTTACAAAATTAATATGAGGTATCTCATTGTTGTAAGTTTGTAAATCAGTACAGATTTAAAAAATTTGTAAAAGCGACGGGACGCTCTTTCTCTCTCTTTCTTTCTCTCTCTCTCTCGCTCTCATCTATCTCTCTCTTATGCTGTCCTCTGAGTATATAAATAACGAATTCTGTTATATATACGAAAATAGACAAATGTTTATAAATTACTCATAATTAAAGTTACATATCCTAGTACATATACATATATTCGTAATTTCTACAGAATTTCTACTCCCATCGTTTGGTTTTCCTTGCATTCTACCTAAATTGACAGTATTTAAGTTGCATCTTTACTTTCATATCCCCTTTTCTTTCTGTCCTCATTTCCCGTTTCGCCGCATTTACACGCTAAATCGCTCCGTTTAAGGATTATATTTTGTTTAATATCTGCAATCTGAGAGCATTATTCACGTACACAAATAAAAGTTAAAAGCAGATTCGTGATGACTAGATTATCTTTACATTTCATACATTCATTCTTTTTATACTTATGTGCAATAGTCCATATTAAAAAACATAGATGTTATCTTAAATTGTAATATATAACTTTGGTTCATAGCAATCCCTCAATAATTTCGTTAAAAAGGGGAAAGATGAGAAAGTAATTCGATCTCCGTTTAATGCAAAAGTTGTAAGTAGTGTAATTTAAATTACATCATGCCCAAATTAAAGCTTATGACCGGGAAATACAGGCAGCAAACACACTGCAAAGTAATGTGCCCATCCTGTTGGCGATGTTATCGTTATTTTAATATTTTAATATTTTAATTCTGTAACTAAATGTGTTCAGTTTTAGAAGTTGTAAATAACATTGAGCGCCTTGTACAAAAGATCGGAATAAGACTGACATGTAATTACATCGTTGTTGGCAATTCAATTTGCATAAGAAAACAAACGCGCCAGTAGTAAGTACCTGGAAATTTGTAAGATAAGTGCACTACTTACAAAAAATGCGATCTATGCATTACACTATAATACATAATCGTAGTATATTATGCTTAACTAATGAATTGTATTATACATACGCAGGAGTATACATATCAAAAGTTTAAACTATCAGAAATTGCAATAAACGAAGATAAAAGAGTTGCTAGAGTTGATCATTTAAGACATACACTTTAAATTTAGGGAATATTCTAGCAATTAATTCTCTCGTAATTTTCGAAAATAGATATATAAATATATTATATATATATATATTTATCGCCAAATAATTATATACATAATTATTTTGCGATTATTATATTTCATGTCAAACATGTGTCACACAAATCAAACAAAAGACAGACATTAACTGTAGCATTTTAATTAATCAAGTGACTGCGTGATAAGACCCGTTGGCGCATAAAGATTTCAAGAGTAAGGAAAACACAAAGTAACACCTTAAAAGATACAGATTCGATTGAAATTTAGAGTATGCTTCTATGCTACATTATGTACACCTAGTAAGCTGTAATATGCCTTTTCGTTTGCTCCTTATAACATTTTCAGACTAGAACAGCCAAAACGATCATTGATCGCCAAGCCTTCTCATGCAACCGTAAAATTCGCATTTGTAAACTAATTAATGTTAATGGTGCAGATTATAAGAGCAAAATTTATGATTTTCATTGTTTCGAAATTGCTCGTCTTCCTTTACAAAACTAGGATGCAAAATCATTCCTTCAAATAGTTACTCATTCTCAGCCACTCTGGTATTAAATGTTCCTCTTTCGATGTAATTTTGAAATATTGTAAATTATTTTGGAATTCATTTAGAATATAAAGTTTAATTGGAGCATGGTATTTAATGTATGTTTTTTTTTAAATGGAAAACATATGGCACAAAGGTCCTATCTTTTCTCTATCCCTAGCTTTCAAATAAAAAAATAAAAAAGCACGACCACGAAGATAATCCATTTTATCAGTTCACCATTGAGTTTTTAGTGAGCATATATAATATCGGTATTGACAAAACTTGAGTTTCTTTAGCTAAACATAAAAAAGAAAGATCCGTAAAGGAAATGCAATCCCAATTATGATCGTTTAATAAGATAATGAATTAGAGACAATGATATGGACTTAACTTTATAGCAATAGTCATTTGTACAAGATATCTATATCTCTAAATCATCGCACTAGTTTCCCCCGTAATTTTTATGTAAATAATTTTCATACAAATAAATGGAAGAGAGTGAGATGTACTATGGTATTTAAGAAAATACATTGTGCTATATATTTATATATTTCAATTTAGATGGACTTTGCATTGTGTGCTGTGTATTTGTTATCAGAGTTTTATCAACTGCTACACTTCTTTTGATTGTTACTTTAGTAAAGAATATTTACGTGTGAATTCGTATAATAATTAACAAGTCGAGTTGCAGCAATTGCAAAAATGTGCAACACTAAAATCTCATCACCAAGCCCAAACGAAAAATGCCACGTCGAAAATAGAAAGCGATTAAATTGAAATCCTGCAATCACACGTATAAAATCATATTAAAATATTCTCAGTTTTATTTATCCAAGTAAAATAAATATTAATGCGTAATACGTTATTATGCCTTTCAACACAGACGCGTTACAATTCTAAATAACAAATGTCTCGTGTGCATCATTGTCAAGTGTAAATATTACGTAAGACGATCGCGTTTTCCTTCTCTAATATCAGGAATACTATAAAATGTCCATGTCATGTTATCTTATGGCAGTATTCTGTATGCATACTATACATTTCTTATCGGAAGTATTGATAAAAATAAAAATCTCAAATGCCCCAAAGAATGGAAAGACAAACATGCTATCTCTGTCTAAAGAACCATTATGCACACCAATTTCTCTGGCTATCTTTTAAAAATTTCCGTATTTGTTAGTAAAATATATATATATATTGTCTAGAACTGATTGATTGAAGAGTGCTTGTAAAATTTATTTGATTTTTCGTTGCTATGGCACTGCATGTTTAAATAATTCTATGATGCTAGCCTTACGACATCCCGTAAAACTTTACAGCACTGTCACGATTAGCTATCGCGTTATATGTACTAAAATCAATGTTCCTACTATTGTAAATGTAAAAAAGTCGAAAATCTGGCAGCCCTGATAAGTAAAGCTTCGGTACTTAATGCTTTTAATCATCACAGCACATTTACACTGTATTATCGATTCTTTGCAGGACTGCAACATTAATTAACAGAGATTCTCTCGTAGAACACACAAAAATTTCATGAGCCGTTTTCCGCTAAACTATTGACTGCACGTTACTATGGTCACATATCCTTTTATCGTTATGCAAATATATGTATGTATAAATGCAAGTTGAAAAGGAAAGACACCTGCAAGCTTGTAACTCGTAAACTTCCTCCTGCAAACTGCTACTAAATATTTATTCTATCCTCTTTTTTTTCTCTCTCTCTCTCTTACTTTCTCGTTGTCTAAACTTTCTGGTCGTGAATTAGCATCACGACTCGCATTGAGACCAGGAGGTTTTTAAGTTGTACTCTTTCCGTAATATGGTATATCCTATAGCTGCCAGAGAATAATTCGTTAAAATGCGTGTACTCTATTCGTCTTCTCTTTAAAACATTCATATTATTTCTTTGCGTGATCAAATTCATTTTGATCCGTTGCTTTATGTACGTGTATACCTATGATTCCCTTCAATTCCTTTCGTCGTTTATAACATAATGCACCTTCTTTGCCGACGTTTCTGCGGCTCGGGTCTCAAGACGGCGCGTACCGCCTCGTCGAACACCTGCTTAAGTCCACGCTGCGTAAGGGCGGAGCACTCCATGTATTTTACCGCGCGTATCTACAGCAAAACACGATGCGCCTCGCTTAAATACCAAACCATTCTAAAGGCCTGTGTCCACGATGCTAGATGCTTGGTCCAAGTTCTAGTTTCGAGAAATGTGTAGCCAATCAACTTGCAGCCATTCCACAAAAGTTGATAACGTCGGACCAAGTTCTAGCGTCGTGGACGCAGGCCTTGAATCACATAGAAAGTAAACAACTTGGTTCTACCTTGTTTGCCAGCTTCTGTCCCTGTTCACGCTTAATAGCACTAAGGCCCTGTTCAGCTAAGGCAGTAAGCGTTTCACGGTCGTCTCGTAAGTCTATTTTAGTTCCGACGAGTATCATTGGTGCGTCTGGGCAGTGATGTTTTATTTCAGGGTACCATTTGCTGGTGACATTCTCGAACGACGAGGGGCTCGTTACCGAGAAACAAATAAGAAACACGTCGGTCTGAGGATACGAGAGTGGACGCAGTCTGTCGTAGTCTTCCTGCCCCGCTGTGTCCCACAATCCTAGACTAACCGGAATCCCATCGACGACCATTGGCGCGGAATAGTTGTCGAACCTGCGGGTAAAGCATCACAGACTTAGCACGCACGTTCGGTATCACGATTTTCAATCAACCTTCAATTCCTTTATCACCATTTATCAAGTCTTCCACTTTAAACCTCTACTAAAATAACAAAACGAAACCAGACATCACACCGCTAACACTTTCATTCTCTTATATCAGCTTGCTTCGCTCTCAATACCGCGACAAACTGTATGAACCGACGAAGACACCGCCGAATGAGATGCTGCCCAACCAAAATAGACTCGTGAGAATCTAACGGACAGGAAGTGGCAAAAAGATGACTGGAAACGAATTACTTCCTGCACAGCAGCAGTTAGGTATCTCATACGCAGCTACTATTATTAGCCTCTCCGCTCGATTGGTCCGAGAAGGAGGAACCGAGGCAAAAATTGCCGCCGCAAGGTAACTCCGACCAGTTGCGACTTCCGCGTGCGAGTCCTGGACAGGGAAAGTGGACGTACTCGAGCCCGATAGCGCAAGTATCGGGATATACTTACACGGTGGGTACGTACTCCCCGGGAAAACTGTCTGTCGTGTAGGATATCAACATGCAGGTCTTCCCCACCGTCCCATCTCCCACCACCACGCACTTTATCGGTCTGCCTGAGCTCATGGTTTATTATCTACAAGAAGAGAGACAAACGTTCATTAGTCGGGCGATACTCCATCCGTTTGTCCAGTCGTTTCGTTAGTCCGCGAAAGCGTTTGTGTAACCAACGACGTCGCCCCGGATTATCGACGAAACGAGAAATATCAATGGCAACTCCGGTCGACGACATCCGTGCTACTCGCGATTGAAAGTACGGCAATACCGAAGGAGAGAGTCTCCCGCTGTTTTTTTTTTGTATACGATTTTAACTTGCGGATTCGTGTTTTACGGGCGAAAATACGCGATCCCGTGAATTTTCATCCAAAAAAGGAGAGCGAGAGACTCCCCTTCGGTGTTGCCAAGAAATACGATAAACAATAACGGACGCACGATTGACACGCACTTGAAAGTACGGAACCCCCGTCGCGAATTTGCATAATCTACGCTCGTAGGGGACGCAGGGTGGCGGCGGGGGCCGCCCGCGAGCTCCTTCCGCGGCTCTCGCCTCGCGCGGAGGAGCCCGCGCGCGAGTAAACAAGGCCCAGCCGGACGAGAGTCCGCCCGCACTCACCTCGTGCGCGAGGGAAGGGTGGTTTCCGCCTGTAATCCGTGCGAGGATCGCCGCGCGCGACGACGACGACGACGACGACGACTGCGGGGGCTGCGAGCTCGCGTGTGCGTGCGTGCGTGCGTGCGTACGTGCGCGCGTATCGTGCCGTGCCGTGCCGTCCCGTGTCTCGTCACGCCTGTGTTTGTGTACGGTAGCCCCGCGGTGCGCTGCGTCTCTCAAAAAATCACAAAAGCGGGTGCCATGACAGTGCGCCGCGGTTTTCGGGGGACTCGACGGGGGCTGACTGGCTGGCTGACTGGCTGGCGCACTGCACTGCACTTCGCCGCGCGGTGACAGATGTTCGACGGTCGCCTCGCACTCCCGCCGCCCGCCCGCCCTTCCTGCCCCTCCCCGCCGCGAGACTTTATTGTTCGGGGAAGCGAGACGGGCCGCGACGCTGTCCCTGCGGGCGGGTGCGCACGTCGTGTCGCGCGTCCCGCCCTGCCCCGCTTGGTCGCGCGAAGGTTAAAAACCCGTCCAGGGCTGCTTGCGCGAGAAGATCAAAATGATCCGGATCACGAGACGCAAGTATGAGCGTAGCTAGAAAACCGCGCGAGACCGACCGTGTGTAGTTTACGCGAGTTGACGGGCCCTCAGATTTTCGGATCTCAACAACGGCTGATCCGACGAACTTCCAAGTGCGCTCAATCGTTAGCTTGGATTCGATTTGCATGATAAAAGTGTTTTTATTTTTCTCCTACGTGCCCCGTGAATGGAGATATTGCAATGCAAAGTCCGAATTGTCAGATTTCGATGTTTTAAGAATACGTCGTCGTCGTCCTGGTTGACCAGGCAGTGGTGGGGGAAACGTTCTTTTCATATTTCTGACACACGTGGCGCTCGCAAGCGTTAAGCCTATCACACAGTGGCTGCGTTCAGCAGAAGTCAGCGCTTAAGTCCCAGTCTACAATAGAGATTTAAGCCCTAAGCCTTAAGAAATTGACTAATCACAGTCGCGCATTCTTCTCATACTTGACCGTGATTGGCCAATTTCTTAAAGCTTAGGGCTTAAATCATCTATTGTAGACTGGGACTAATAAGCGCTTTATGCTGATTGGATAGATCTAGAAGAATAGCTCTATTTCAGCACAGATCTGAAAGTATAATCCAATGAGCGCAAAGCGCTTAGCAAGCGCTAACTTCTGCTAGACACAGTCATTGGCTGCGTTCAGCAGAAGTCAGCGCTTAATAAGCGCTTTATGCTGATTGGATAGATCTAGAAGAATAGCTCTATTTCAGCACAGATCTGAAAGTATAATCCAATGAGCGCAAAGCGCTTAGCAAGCGCTAACTTCTGCTGAACGCAGTCAATGCCAGGCAACAGGCAATAGGAATAGGGAATAGAATTTTAGACGCGTTGGATTCGTCGGAAATTTTCTTCCAATCAATCCAACGCATCAGAAATGCTATTTCGCGGTCGCGGAATCGCGTCCCTCGAGTCGCCGATGATTGGCAGATTTCCCTCGCGCCGGCGCGCGCGATTGGCGGACCCTCGGTGGGGACACGGCCCTTCTGGGCTGCTTTCGCGAGAAAATCAAAATGATCCAGATCAAAATGACCTTGTGCTATGATTGGTCAAATCTGGAATGACATTGAATAAAATTTCAATGTGATGCTATGAAATTTCAGATTTGACCAATCATAGCACGGGGTCATTTTAACGCGCCCGTAAAGCCTATCACACAATGCCAGGCAACAGGAACAGGGGCTCGATTCTTGAATTTATTCGAAGGAGAAACGTATGCGAAAATTCTGCTCTTACAGAAAAGTTGCAAGTTGATTGGCTACTCGCATGGCTTTAACCAATAGACTTTCAACTTTTCTGTCAGAGCAGAGTTTTCGTATACGTTTCTTCTTCGAATAAATTCAAGAATCGGGGCTCCAGGGAATAGAATTTCTAACGCGTTGGAAGAAAATTTCCGACGAATCCAACGCGTCAGAAATTCTATTCCCCGCGTTCCTGTTGCCTGGCATTGTGAAATAGGCTTAAAGCCTAAGCCTTAAAAGATTGACTAATCACAGTCGCGTATTCTGCTCATCTTGACCGTGATTGGCCAATTTCCTAAGTCCCAGTCTACAATAGAGATTTAAGCCCTAAGCCTTAAGAAATTGACTAATCACAGTCGCGCATTCTTCTCATACTTGACCGTGATTGGCCAATTTCTTAAAGCTTAGGGCTTAAATCATCTATTGTAGACTGGGACTAAAGCTTAGGGCTTAAATCATCTATTGTAGACTGGGACTTGTGAAACCGTTCGATTTTGGGTAAATGAGTTCGCAAGCGAGGCAAAACAAATGAAAATGTAAAGTGGTCTGGCACTCGATCATTAATCTTGTTCTCCAGCGTGAAGAGCGAAAAATTTGATTAACGAATTCAACATTTGTCAATGAAATTCTTCACTTTTCACGAGTTCACGCTTGAGGAAAAGATTCGCGATCGAGTTTCTGGACTCTGGAGTAAACCTTTCTCTCTGCTCCTTTTCTCTCTGCTCATAATTTATACAGTTATTTGATTTTAAGTAGTAGGAGACGACAGCACACCTGCAGGGATCAAACGTAAGGAGTCTCCGAGGCGAGAATTGATATGGAAAGAAAGAGACTGAACGCAATATAATAAACGGACGACGGGCTTCTTGAAGACCAGAAATTGAAGTAACTGGTGAATCGTGAGTGTGAATTAGAGGAACATTTGTCGAGTCGTAGTTATTCCAGTAGCACATTTTCCCCCCCAAGTTTGTCGATTACAAACTGAAGGAATCATGAATGTGCCGGATGTCGTTTACCTCGCTTCTTCAAGAAACAGCGCTTTCGTATGGAATGCCGATGGTAAATAGTATCGCACTGTATCGCTGTTGTACAATTCTCCAATGCAGTTTGTTTTTATTTCGACATTTTGCTTTATCGCAGATTGGCTCAGGCTTCGGCGGGATCACAGAATAATCGGCGAGTTAGTCGGCTCGTTCCCGAAAGCGAGCAGACAAGATATATTCTTGGGTCTCCCGTTGCTCTTGTTGCCGGAGGAGGTCACTCTGTTGCTCGAAAAGAAGATAGCTCGCCTCGTAGAGTATACAGGTCTAAAGGCACAGCCGGACGAATTGTTAAGCGAGAGATTTCGGGAGTACAAAGAGAAGCTGTTCCTGGAGCAAGCGGACTGTTTGAGAGACAATAGAAAGAGACAAGTAGTTATCTGTATATTATCCGCAGGCGATTTTTGGCGATTGTTCGGTACAAAAGTTCATTTTACTAAAATTAACAATGAAAGTCTTTCTTCTTGTCGCCAGCGTTCTTCAAATAAAAGAGATAAAAATGCTTTGTTGTACGTTGACCGAACTGGCAATTTTCGGCTCCGTTTCGAGCCCTTCTCAAGTAAACTGAAACCATACGATATAAACGTATAATAATATAAAATAATGAATTAAAGAGAAATCAGCACACTAAAGAACAATATACATTTTATATTATTATGTTTATATCATATGGTTTCAGTTTACTTGAGAAGGGCTCGAAACGGAGCCGAATATTGCCAGTTTGGTCAACGTACAACAAAGCATTTTTATCTCTTTTATTACTAAAATTAATTCTTCTATTGGATATCTTCGGTGTCTTTCTTCAGGTGTAAAGGCATTTGTGACACTGATACACTTTGGTGCATGTAACCAAACAGTCGTCAAAAATTGCCCTGTACACTGAACGAGATGCGAGGATTTTGTGGTAGAACAGCAAACAATGAATGTTTCCCCAGATTTCCTCTATGATGGGCAAAATTGTAGAAGGAAAGAAGCGGAAGATGTTGGGCTTGCACACAAGCAAAAAGAACATGAAGAAGCCGCTGGATAAGAAGACGCAGGAGGCCCTGGACAATATTGAGATCGATACCGACACTCTGCTCGAGGAGGAACTGGCGAAGTTGCCTAAACTGAGCAAAAACGATGCACTTGTTCAAATACACACAGGTACCGCGATAAATGTAATTTAAAATGTTCCATTGAGTCACCTGACCGTTTACTCGTACACTAGCGTATCCCTGGTCCGACAAGGACAATGTGAAAACAGTGGAATGGAAGCACCCACTGACGTCCGAGCAACAGCTTAGGTACAAGGTGTACAAGGATCTCTGGGAGAGGCAATATTACATCACCAGTGGGGAGAAATTCGGTGGCGACTTTCTGGTGTATCCAGGTACACCACCTCTTCATGTCGCCGTAAAGCCTTGTGTCCATGATACTAGAAATCGGCCCGAGATCTTGATCCGAGAAATGTGTAGCCGATCGACCTGCAGCTTCGTTCGTGAAAACTGCAAGTTGACTGGCCACAATTACTTGCCATTGGCATTCCGTACGGAAGCGTTGTTTCTTGGAGAAACGACATTCGGCACATTCGTGATTCCTTCGATTTGTAATCGACGAACGTGGAAAAAAATGTACTATTTCTCAGGTCGAGATCTCGGACCGATTTCTAGCATCGTGGACACAAGGCCTTAATTTCCCCTGCAAACTCTGCTTGCGGCGCGACTATGCGGTAAATTTGTCTGCCTGCAGGTGATCCGATAATGTTTCACTCGCAATACGTGGTACAGTGTAGACGCAAGGACGAGGAGATACCAATCACGGAAATCGTGGCACAGTGTCGACTCAGTTGTCACGTCAGAAAGACGTTGGTGCTCGCTACGTATAACGAAGAGAAAGATGTAGTGAAATATCAGTCTTTTCAGTGGTCGGAATCTAGTATGTTAAAAAACAGCTGATATAAAATATTTTTTAATTATCAAGAATTATTTGACGCCAGTACATACACGACTAGCAATAATTAAGCTTTCAATCGACCGTAACTGGCAACGTGTATTTTTAACACAGAAAATTTATTGCGAAAAATGGTGAGACGCCCGCCCAGAGTGCAGGGAGACTCCAGGGTTCAAACCCTGAGGTAATATTTTTCGCAATAAATTTTCTGTGTTCAAAAACACGTTGTCAGTGCACGGTCGATTGAAAGCTTAATTAAAACATTTTACTTGAAAAAGATGTCTTCACGCGTGACGCGCGCCTCGTAGGTTTTTGTTACAGATAAAAATTTCATTCAGTTTGTACTGACTTGGAATTATAAATTTCACCGTAAATTGAGTAGAGATTAGGATAGTGAAATATATAATATTCAAAAACATATATAGTCAACGATATATTTTAACTAAACATTAGGACTTTGAGACCGTAGAGTCGAGGGAACTTTAACACCTCCTGTACATATTTATTTATATCTTGTCCATTAATTTGAATATTTTGTGCTGAGGAGTAGGAATAACATTAAAGTGTTTCTTGTATATAACTTGATTTTCACGGCCGCTGTAGTTCTTCCTTATCCAAGAGTGCTTCCAGTTGGGATCGATTTTCTCGCAAGTCACAATTACTTTGCCCGGCTCCATGGCGAATAGAGTCCCATTTCGTCCGAAACCAACCTGTACGGCCAGAAATATGCACGTTAGATAGAACCTGCAGTGATTAGAAGCATGGTAATTAACATGTCTTACGTAGAGACCCGGATGGAATCTGGGTTTAAGCTGTGTGACCAATATTCTGCCCGCAGTTACGGTAGCCCCATCCTGTACCTTCCATCCTCTGTGCTTTGGTCTGGGATGGCCACCCGCGTTTCTGGTGCTGGAGCCGCTTTTCTTGGAAGCGTGCCTCACGCATGCTTTCGCTAAGAGAAATAATTTTCAAAGTAACGACATACGATTAAGACCAAGTTTAACAAGCTTTTCGTTTAACAAGGTATTAAAATTATTTTACTGAAGAGCATATGATTACATTAGGACTCTAGGATTGCGTACGCGTTTTGGCACACAGTGCTTTCATCAAACTTTCATAAACTTGGCCTTAATCATATGTCGTTATTTTTAATAGGACACAAGCGATACTTCAATAATTTTCATTAATTGCACTGCACAGAAGTTTGCCGGTAGACCCAACAGATTGGTATCAATCATGTCCGCGCAGTCTGTCAATGTAATCTGACAGTAGACTACCAGCAAAAATCAAACATCTTTCGATTAAAAAAAGAGATTCCGCTTAGTTTCTTGGCACAGTACGTCACACAGTTTGCCAGCAGATTCTGGTTTTTTTTTTGATAGTCTGCCAATAAAATTTGTCCATGAACCCTTTGCAAAATTTGTTTTCGACAGACTTGGTCATCTTAGGTCCGGTTACACCAACGTTGTTTAAACTTACCTTAATGCGTTCTTTGTCTCTCTTTCCAACTGTTACTTTAGAAAGAGGCAAACATGAATTTAAACGTTTGGCGAAACCGGGCCTTGGTTGTGCTACATGTATTAATAAAACAATACGAACCTATGTTGTTGACACTGGAGGATACCAGAGTTTGCCGGGCGTTCTGTAACCCGAGAGAGACCAATGGTAACAAGTGTGCCATCTGAAAAAGGTCCTTGCGTTCACATTTTTCCAAGGTAACGACCAGATTTACTTACAATAACGTTATATCGCGTTGCACCAGGACGAACTAACCTCTAAATCGCTTCAGCTCGACGCTGCACCTCCCGCACTCAGCAATGCCAACGTTGAGAGATAAATTCTCCATGACAACGTGTAACTACGTCACGTGACCGTCTCGACGCGTCGTAACGTGGCTCGGCCAATCGCGGTCTCGTTGTCTCTCTCTCTTGTTCGTTGCGAGCATTTATCGCGAGGGACCTTTCTGTCATAGGATAATAGAATGTGCTCGGATTACGTTAGTTTATAATAAATAAGAGTCTTGTTAATTTACATTGAAATTGCGTGTAATCTGTTATCTGATCGTATTCTCCCTCGCCTCAGGTGAGCCAACCGCCCGTTGTTTCCGCGCCTCCGTGAAATATCCCCAGGGAATATCCGCCGCACGGTTGTTGTCGTTGCGGCTGTCAGAGGTGCTCGAGATCGCGTCCGGAGTTCCACCCGGACGACTCACCCACTCGTACCGGGCACGCGGGCAGAATCGTCGGGGAAAATGACGACGAACGCGGAGGACCTGCAGAAGCTGGAGGAGGAGGCGATCGCCAGGGGCACCAAGTACGTCGCGAACCTTCTGCAGCGGCCGGGCCAGCTGGAGAAGATCGACATGTACAAGCGCAGGATCGGCAGGAAGAAGGCGTCCGTCGAGACGATGCTGAAGACCGCGATGCAGAGCCAGCTGGACGGGGTCCGGGTCGGCTTCGGGCAGCTGGAGAGCTCCCTGGAGAGTATCGCCACCATCAAGGACGACCTGGACAACATTAATCAGCTGTTCAGCTCGGTCCTCAAGCTCAGCTCGAGGCTGCAGGCGGTGCAGGAGGAGAACATGCGTCACTCGCAGTACGTAATCGCCAAGGAGAATCTGAAGCACATATTCACCGTGCCCGAGAGCGTGGAGAAGACGAAGCAGTGGATAAACGAGAGTAAGCTGCTGCACGCGCATCAGAGCCTGATGGACCTGGAGACGTCGCGGGACGAGCTGTTGTACGAGCTCCACAAGCTGCCGAATCAATCGCCGGCGGACACGGTTATGCTCAAGGCTTACTTCGAGGACGTGGAGATGCTCTCGCAGCTGATGGAGAAGCAGATACGGCTGGTGCTGAGTCGAACCCTCAACACAGTCAGGAAGGAGCCCACGGTCATAGTGACGCCCTTGAGAATCATAGAGAGAGAGGAGAAGGCGGATCAGTTCGCCGTTCAGCGGCACAAGCAGAGCGGATTCATGGCGCCGGGCAGGCCCAAGCGGTGGAAGGAGATGGCGATGAAGGTGCTGGAGAAGTCGGTCGCCAACAGGATCGAGGGGACCCAGGTGGATGAGAGGGCGGACAACAAGATGTGGCTGGTGAGGTACCTGGAGCTCACCAGGCTCCTGATCCTCGAGGACCTGAGGGTGGTGAAGACCCTGTGCGGGCCCTGCTTCCCACCTTGGTACGACATAGTGAATACCTTCGTCAAGATGTACCACACGAGCCTGTCGCAGCACCTCAAGGACATAATCGCCGGCGGGCTGGAGGGCAACGAGTACGTCTCGCTGCTCGCGTGGATCATGAACACCTACACCGGGCCGGATCTGATGCGGCATCCCGAGCTCAACATCGACACGTCCGACATCGGGCCGCTGCTCAGCCCCGAGATGATAAACGACCTGCAGGAGAAGTACCTGCGGAACATGTGCCAGAATTACGAGGACTGGATGAGGAAGACGCTCGAGACGGAGAAGCTTGACTGGCGGAGCGGCGTCCTGCCCGAGAGCAGCGCCCAGGAGCTGTACTATCACACCGCCGCGCCGGTCATCATATTCCAGATGATCGATCAGAATCTCCAGGTGGCCAAGACCATCAGCGCCGACCTGACCGCGCAGGCCCTGGTTCTGTGCGTCGAGCAGGTCATCAAGTACGGATCGATGTACAGACAGGCGATACTGGAGTTCAAGACGAGGCATTTCGAGGACAGGAGTCAGGTGCCATACTTCACTCATCACATGATCACGATAGTCAACAACTGCGTGCAGTTCACCGAGCTGGCGCAGCAGATGAAGCAGCTCTACTGGGTGCCCAACACCACCGGCGACGCCACGGTCAAGTTCGAGAGTCTCCTGGCCACCTATCAGCACCTGAGGAACGAGGCCGCCACCATTCTGCTGCAGGAGTCCTTCCTAGACTTGGAGCTGCACTTTCAGGACCTGATCACGCCCAAGTGGCTGTCGTCGCCCATCCCGGTGGAGACCATCTGCGTCACCCTGGAGGACTACTTTCAGGATTACAATCACCTCAGCCCCAAGAACTTCGAGTACGTCATCACGGAGGCGCAGAATCTCATCGCGAAGCGCTACATATCCGCGATGCTGCAGAGGAAGATATCGTTCAAGACCTACGACGAGTGCCTCACGTGCACGTCCAAGATCATGACGGAGGCGGACAAGCTGCGGAACTTCTTCGACAGAATCGCGCCGAAGGTCGGCAACTTCAACTCGCCGTTCGAGGTCATAAAACGCCTCGCCGAGGTGCTGAGGTGCGAGGACGCGGAGATACTCTCCCTCGACCTGCACTCGCTGGTCGAGAAGTATCCGGACATGACGGAGGATCATCTCATCAGGCTGCTCGGCCTGAGGGGCGACATATCGCGGGCGGAGGCTCGAGGGAAGGTCTCTTACATCATGGAGGCTCAGCGGAATCGAAAGCCCGTGCAGTCCATGGCGAGCAGCATATTCAAGCAGATCGTTATACAGGACAGCTTCCTCGGCTGGAAGCCTTGAGACTGGAGGAGGAATTTCTACGAAGCGAAGATATGGAACATGAACGGCTTCTCCGTGTAGCACCGCGCTACTCCTCCAAATCAAATGTGTCTGGTTTTTTTTAGGTACGACGGCGGAAGATGTAATATACTTGTACAAATCTGCGGACGTTTAATGTAATTATGTACAGTCGATTCTGCAATTTTCACGTATAGACGCTCAGAGCTTTATTTCTATACAATCCCCGATGGCAGTATTTTGCTCAGAGAGACATTGGCGAAAAGTGAATTGAAAGCTGTTGAAAAATTGTTCAACATATTTCGAAATGAATCACAATTCTTCTTATGAAATTCAATGTAATATAAATGTGAGATACGAAGGAAGTCGAAGTACATTGTTGAACAGTGATAGAAAATTATGAGATACTTTTTAGGTGCTGTGAAATTTACGGAATTTAACTAAAACCTGTTGATTTGTAACGAAAATGATTTCTTACTGGAATGCTGATACCCAGAAAACATTTTGCGCGCAAACATCTGGCATTGTGACGACGCACTTGGGTAGAATTTTGCTTGCGTCGTTGAGCCATTTTTGTACGTGAGTTGATAGATGTTTGCGCGCAAAATTATACGTTAATACATGAGCTAGCCACTTGCGTGCAAAAGCACAGACTAAACATATCTTACGGACAAACTCAGGCAAATTTGCATGCATAAGACAAGCAAAAATTTGCGCGCAAGAATTGTTATCTGGGTAGATGATGAAACAAAGTCAATTGAGGAAGATTTTCAGATTTCCAACAAAATCTCATTACACTTTAAGTAAAATATTTCCACCAGGAATATGTACGTACAAATTTATAGAAGACATCGGTAAGAACTGTTTCTATTAGATTGAAACTGATTGAGATTGTATTGTATATACACGCGTAGATATCGCATATATAATAATATATCAGATACGCATAACATTAAAAAAATTATTAAATATTACGTTAGCCGAGTCTGCCGATAAATCTCTTCCGTAAACCTAAAATTCCTTTATTCCTGCGACACTACGATCGCGCGTAGCGAGAAAATCTACGAGAGAGACGATTTTTTTGTCGTCTAGCATCGCGCAGTAAAATGTGAATTATCAGAGAAGTTTAACTCATTCATGACTGAATTATCCTTTCGTTTTTAAGCTTCCACTTATAATGTTATAATATACACAGGGTGTCTCACTTTCAATGATCCACGCAAATATCTCCAAAAATATGAAAGATACAAAAGAATGTTTCAAGTAAAAGTTGTTCGGTTCGGAGGGGGACATAAGGTGGTGCCATTGACTTGACCTTGGATAGTTACTTGAAGGTCACCTTCAATTTTTTTTAGATGAAACCCCCTATTCATTGTACTATCTTATTCTGCTAATTAATACGAACAACTTTTGTCTGAAACATTTTTTGATTTGCCTAATACTTTTTGAGATATTCAAGAGAAAATTTATAACTTTTTCAATGTCTAGCTTATGATATCTCGATAACTGTTCGTCGGAGAGAAAAGTATAGTACAGGACTTTTTCGCTTGAAATACGATATCCTCGATATCTGATGAAAATACGATGTCTTTCATATTTTTGGAGATATTTGCGTGGATCATTTAAAATAAGTCACCCTGTATAATGATATAACGTTCTTTCAGTAATAGAACGCGAATTACCCTATATAATATGAAGGAAGTCAAAGTATACTGTTGAAAAGCGATGAAAAATTATGAGATATAAAGTAATTGTTCCACAGTAAGACAAATCGACGTCGGAAGTCAACAAGGATTGTCGTAGACGTATGTCGCATCGACTTCCGACACCGACTTAGGTCTACGTCTAACGCTTACGTCCTTGCCGTAAGCCATTGTCGTTGGCTTTGTGCTCCGACCCTTCGTCGCGTCGCAAGGCGATTCTTTGCGCGTCGACCTCCGACAGCGACTTAAAGTCTTACGACAAAATCGTAAGCGGCTACGGCAATCCTTCTGCCCTACGAGTTTCCAAGAAGTTCCGTAGAACCAACCGAGACAGTGCGATGCACACACGAAGAAATTTTATCCTGCGTGTGCGTACGTACACACGTACGTACATACAGTGACACGTGCTTGCAAACGAGTGCGAGGAAATTTCAACTGTCAGCAGTGTCAGGTCAGCGGCCAAGTCGAGCCGCGAGCGGCCGGCGCTTCCCGACAGCTGTCGAGAAACTGCTTTGTGACAGGATCTTGGGTGAGCGCAAGCTCGAGGAATATAAGCAGGATCGCGTAATAAATCGTACGTACGAGAGGCCCGGCTGTCCTTCATACAGATAATTAAAATGCCAACGATAAACGGGCGAGTGTGTGTGTGTGTCATAACCTCGTGATAAATTTTCAGGGAGCTCGAAGTGTTCGGCCGATGGCAGAGAACGATCCGTAAACGCTTAAGACTGTCTTAGATCGCAGACGTAAGGCAAGGCAGAGAGAAACGTAAGACGTATACTTAATAGCCTTTCACGACTTACGTTTCTCTCTGCCTTGCCTTACGTCTACGATCTAAGACAGTCTTAAGCGTTTACGGATCGTTCTCTGCCATCGGCCTTAATCTGTTTTCAGTCACGGACAGTCGCGGAGGAGCAGCGTGCTGATCCAAGGGCCAAAGAGTTGGTCTGAATGTTATATTTGCAACGAATATGCGCCTACCAGTGTTCTTAGTGTCGCTTGTCTGCGCGGGAGCGTGGCACGCTGATGTGGATCCACTGAAAACGATTGTGTGGGGCCCAGGACTGAGGCCGGCGGAAGTTACCATGCGTGCGAGATATTTCTTCTTGCAGCTCGTGGACTCGCACGGAACGAAGTTAGTGTCGTCAGGCGATTGTACATAAATGACTAATAAAGCAAGGGTATAAAGATACTGATCATTTTGTAGACATATACAGGACTTTGGAAGTTGAAGTACATGAAAAATTAACTGGCACTCACCGTCATTTTTCTCACAACATAGCATAAATTGTAAAAGTACCTCGATAGTTTCTGTAAAAAAAACTTAAAAAACTTGAAATCTGTTATTTTTATGGAAACTGGTTGTTCTGACGATAAAGATCTAGAGATTTGGGTGACATTTGTTGCAACAACGAAGGATCCAGAGGAGCAAGTGGTTTCGTGCGCGATATTTGTAAAATTAATAATTGTACAAAAGATGGAGTGATTTCAGCTACAAGCGTTTCTGGCAGCAAATTACAAGTGCATCTGCAATAAATTACAATAACATTTCTACGAGTTACCTGATATATGTGATGTTACATCTTGTCTTTTTTTAACTCGCAGATAAATTTAGTATCGCCAGTAGTTTAAAAACCAATAATGTAATTTTGAAACGACCTATACTGGCCAATGTTTTTATTTAAAGAAAAACACTGCAACGTTTCGGTCCCGGACTTGGACTTTTCTCGAGTAATCTGAAATCGTACATAACACTGCACTAAATGTTTTTTAATAAAATAATTATAACGAAAACGAACCACAAATTCATACCTGTTCACAAAATTATTAAAGATCTCGTAGCAATTGCTTGGCCAATGTCACTGTGACAGTAAGCTGCGTACAAGTAAGAGAGTAAGGATTAAATAAACTTGCATATTAGTAAAGAAATTGTCTTTATTTTTTAGTCTGACGAAATCTCCCGGTGAGAATATAGTCACTGGTCAGGTGCACGGAGACTCTCTCAAAGGAGCACCGTGCCGCCTGTGGACTCAAATCTTTGACTGTAAAGACGGCAGTTTTATTGTACGCTACAAAGCCTTCACCACCTGCTTCAACCTCAAGATCAAAGTAAAAGTCAAGGGAAAAGATTTGTCAATGCCCCGTTCGGAGTTCAAGGGTATGCGAACTTGTTTTTCTTAACGCGGAACCTTTTATTAATTAGAACCTAACGAGATCTGTGTCTCTAGGTCCTGTTTACGAGGAAGAATGTTACTGTCCGAATCCATCAATCGTTAACTGGCTAGATCACTATCAGTGCCAACAGAATCACACTCAAATACACCGTGATCTCTCTCCGTTTCCAAATATTGACTTTGACGAAGTACGTCAAAGCCTTATTAAAAGATACGATCGACCAACCAGTGTCAGCATTTGTCATTACGTATTGAAATCTAACAGAGTAAATATCGTGTTATATCGTTAATAATTTGTCCTTATTTACAAATATTGACTTTAACTAGATTAAACTAGGTTTATAGGCAATGTTACGGCCAACACGTTGGCTTCAAAATATTTATGGATGCTATATTGCTGTCACTCGCCCGCAAAGTGATGTTGCCCGATATTGAGCTCTTCGTGAACTTGGGCGACTGGCCGCTTGTGCCCGATTCAGGCCCGCTCTATCCTATTTTTTCATGGTGCGGATCTGAAAGTACGAGAGATATTGTTATGCCTACGTACGACATCACAGAATCGTCTCTGGAAACGATGGGGAGGTACAACCTTGCCTCGATAATGCTAATAATCTAAGCTGCCGTTTTATTTGCAATATGATATGCCTGAAAAACAGGGTAATGTTAGACACACTCTCCGTACAAGGTAACGGACTGCCGTGGGAGAGCAAAACTGAGCAGTTGTTTTGGCGTGGGCGCGACTCCAGAAGGGAACGCCTTGACTTAATAGATATTTCCAGAAAGCATCCAGAGCTCTTCAATGTTTCCATCACTAATTTCTTCTTCTTTAGAGATGAGATAGATAAATATGGACCTGCACAAAATCATGTATCATTTTTTAATTTTTTTAAGGTAAATCTAAAAGCCTCATCTTTTTCTGTAACAAATAGAGCTAGTATCGAGTCAGATTTCACGTATATTCTACGATATTGTCGCGTTTTGTTTTGTTTGTCAAGATATGTATCAATCTTGAAATTATGTTCTGTACAAATTTTTTTTAAATATAGACAATACGTAACTTTATCTTGTTAGGGAAAAATTTGTTTAATTTAGATATTTACATTGATAGTTTGTATTACTTTTTTTTCCTAGTATAAATATCAGTTGAACATTGATGGCACAGTAGCAGCTTATCGATTCCCATATCTACTTGCTGGAGATTCGTTGGTGTTTAAGCAAGACTCCAAGTATTATGAATTTTTTTACAAAGCTCTCACACCTGGAGTGCATTATGTGCCTGTGAGAAGCGACCTGTCGGATCTCGTCGAAAAAATTACGTGGGCAAAGGAGCATAACGAGGATGGATTAAAAATTGCTAAATCTGCTAGACAATTTGTCAGGGATAATTTATTACCACGTGATATATTATGTTACTATACAGTTTTATTTCATGTATGGGAAAAAAGTACTATTTTATATATTTTTCTTGGGTATATATTGTTGTCAAATAATATGATTTTTTATATTTCAGGAATGGAGTAAACGCTTAAAGAGTAAAGTTGAAGTACTAAATAACATGGAAGAAGTACCACAACCTAGTCATTCTTGTCAGTGTCACCTTAGAAATTCAAACCTTAGAGATGAATTGTAATTTTTAACATCTTTTTCAATATTTTTCTATGCTTTATTTATATAATGAAGATTTAACAGATCCACGTTGCCGTACAAGTATCATCTATCATGTGTGCACATCTGTTTACTAACATTTTATACCTAATTGCTAATGTTGAAAATAAAAGGAAACGTGATCTCGAACTTGAAAAATAAACGGTTGTCTAATATTTAATAAATTTTCTCTTTTACAACCTGTTAGCTAGTTTTATATATCATTTAATATTTTTTTTTATTTAATCTAAAATCATGTCGCGAAAACTCGAGTAAGATACATCATTTGTACAATTATCAACATCTTCTTCGAAAAATATTTGTGGGATAAATACAAGGCGTGGCAAAATTTATGATATTCTATCTTTAATTGTATCGCGAATTCTACTGCAAATTATATTTAATGTGGAAAATTCACATTTACATTCATATATAAAGTTTAAAATTAAATTTTCTTATATCAATTAAGAGCATAAATCAAAATCGGAACGAACATTTATATATATTCTTACATATGGCATTTGTACCATTGCATAGTTACATAATTCTTTGACTTTCAATTCGTTTATGCTTTAGTCGTATTAATAAAAAATTACGTATGTATCTGTAATAAAAATAGAATTTGAGGCTTATTATCTTCACTGTACGCAAAATAGTAAAAATATAAAAAATATATAATGAAAGAATTATACACAATAAATCTGCGAATACTTTCAAATTTATAGAAATAATACAAAACAAGTAATAAAAAAAAACATGTTAAATCATTTCTGTGCTACAACTTACATTTTTCGTATTAGAAGTTTTGCCACAAGTGTTAAAAGCCATTTGGAATATTTTGGCATATTTATTTTATCGAGATCTATAGTTAATAATAATAATGATAATAAACCAGTTATTATGTTGTAATGTACGTATATAATGTAAGACAAAATTATATATATATATATATTATTTATATCACCACACATTGAAAAAAAAAATAAAAATACTGAGGATTACAAGTATAGTAAATAATCGAAGTTGAACTAGGAGATTAAGACCTCTCCCATAATGTATATATAATTTTGTCCCAAGCTTTTCTCTTATTACCAATTTTAAAGCAAAAGATAAATTAAGTTCTTCACATAATTCTATCTTGTTTTAATCTAGGTATTGTAATTTTTCATCCTTTGTATTGAACCCTTTATATTCAAATATTAATACGAACATTTATCATATCTAAATAAATATTGTAAATTAATATTAATATGAATTATACTATTCACAATATTTGGATAAATATCGTAAATGTACATTATGAAAGTATATGAACGTACTCACATAGTAAAGCGATTGAAAACAAACAAAAATTCTCGATATTTATATTAATCTAAACTTTATGTAAATTTGGGAGTTATTCATGTATTTTTATTGTGTGGGTGGCTGATAACCGTAACCTCCATATTGATTAGGCGGAGGTGGGCCTTGTGGTCCAGGTGGAGGAGGCATGTGTCCACCAGGTGGTCGTGGCGGGTACTGTGGATATCCTTGCCCTGCCGGCGGTGGAGGGTAACTTTGAGGAGGATACTGAGGATGTCCATAGTGTTGTCCCCCTTGCGGTGGATGAGGACTGTAAATCTGTAATTCAGGATGCTCTCAAGTTCCATTATATCAATAATTCATGCGTTTCACTTACTTGCATTATATAACTTTTTTACAGGTGTTTCAAACGTAAATAATGTAAAAAGGAAAACAAAGTGTTTTTCTTTCTACTGAGAACTGCGAATAAAATTGTAAAACTGTAAAGAAAAATGACGTCATATTGCCACGAAAACGAGGGATAAATCTGAAACAGCTCGCCTATGTCGATATAGCTCAAGTACCTGTGGTTGTCCTCCTGGAGTCGGTGGCACGTATGTTTGCGTCGTAGTGGGTCCGTAGGCAGGTTGTTGCTGAGGGCCTGGCGGTGGAGCGGGACCTTGCGGCGGACCTGACGGCGGCTGGAATCCACTCGGAGCTGGACTCTGAGACGGTTGCTGTTGCGTCTGCGGAGCTGTTTGCGACTGTTGCTGAGATTGTTGCGGTGGCTGGTGCGGTGATTGATGCGAGGGTGGTTGGTGGGACGATTGATGAGTCGGCTGGTGAGGTGGCTGATGCGGGGTGTGGGGTGGTTGGTGTGGCGACTGATGCGGCGGCGGTGGATGCGGGGGGTGCGATGTCGGGTGTGGTGTTTGATGAACGGGATACCCAGAGGGGGCCGGCGGCACCGGGGGTGCGTAGCTTCCGCCCTGCGACGTCGGTGGCGGACCGCTATTCGACGGATACGTCTGCGTCGAAGCAGACGGCGTGCTTGTCGGCTGACTGCTTTGGACGTAAGTATTGCCGCCGCTCGCGGAGGAGGTGCTAAATGGCGGAGATGTAGAGGCGGGGCCGTACTGCGTCGCGCCAGGACCTGGGCTTGGTTGACTAACGTAATTGGGCTGCGGGCCCGCGTTTTGCTGAGACCCAGGTTGCGGGGGCTGGGTCGCGCTAGTTGTCGGAGGTGGCGGGTAATTTTGCGGCGGGACATTGTTCGCGTATGTCTGCGAGGAAGGAGGGGGATAACTTCCGGGCTGTCCTGCGGCGTACGCGTTTTGAGGTGGCACTTGGGACGGAGGCTGTTGATAATTTGGTTGTGGACTAGGACTGCCGTATTGTCCTGGTTGTTGTTGTTGACTACCTGATGAGAAGTTCTGCTGCGAAGCGTTTGATGGCGGATAGCCTTGCTGATTTGGCGGCGGCGGTCCGTATCCGGAAGGCGGCTGAGCCGTGCCCGGTGGCGGATAACCACCTGGTTGTGGACCATAACTGTTCACCGTAGTCGGAGGACCATAATTTGGCTGTGTCGCTGCGGTGTATCCTTGCTGCTGAGAAGCGTTCGGCGGTCCGTACTGATTCGGTTGACCGGGAGTGTATGCGGATCCTTGTGGACCTTGATAGTTCGAGCCAGGGCTCTGACCAGCGTATTGAGCAGGATAACCTTGCTGAGAAGGTTGCTGGGGATAGCCCTGTGGACCTCTATACTGCTGCGGACCTGGTGCGGTTGGAGGCCCTGTAAACGTTACAAGATTAAAACGTCTGGTAATAATATATGAAGCTGAAAGTGTTACATCTCTTCCAAATGTATATTAACATACGAATCATTTAATATAAATTTTAACTGGAGTAAAAATAAAGCTTTTTTTTTTAATAGACAATTCAAATTAGAATATAACGTACTATTTATTGCAGGTCCTTGGCCGGGCATCACAGGTCCGCGATAACCTTGCGCCATTGGTTGGCCTTGATTGAACGTCGACATTGGCATTGTTGGCTGTGTGTTTGGCGGCATTTCCCCTCCGGGACCAGCTGCACCACCCGGACCACTTGGAAGCCCTTGTGGGTTCATCATACCATGCTGAGGACCATTGGGAATACCTTGAGGTAGCTTGTAACAGAAAGACATTGAGTTTCGCAACCGTTTGATTTTATCGAATCAAATGCACTTCGTTTTTATCTACATCCTTTGTTCCATTCCTGCTACTTACTGGTAATAAAGTCTGCAGATTCTGGTTTACATCAGCGATAGACGCTAGATACACCAAGTTGCGATGTAATATTTGTTGGTACCTAAAAATTAAATTTAAAAGACATACTGACTGGCTCGACAAGAGCTGCCTACTTATCGAGAAAACAATCCTCTTTGGTGCTCGTCTTTCGTGTAAACAGCTGAAAAAAGTATCCTCGGCGCGGGATTATCTCGACAGCGATAAAAATTATTTCATTTTGCATCAGACTGTATATCATTTCGCGGGGTCGAAAAAGACGCGCAATCGTCTTGCGCCAATCACTTACTGCACGCATTCCTGCGCCTTGCCCTTGTTCTGATACTCCTGAATCATCTGTATAAGCTGGCTATTCTCGTCGAGCATCTAGAAAAACGTGACAAACTCGTACATGTACTGTCCTTTCGGGGTGCTTTCCAGCAATATACATGGGCGACACTGCGCGAAGCCTTGTGTCCACGATCCAAGAACCGTGTCCAAGTTCTAGTTCCGAGAAATGTGTGGCCAATTAAGCTTGCAGCTTTTCCGTAAAAGACGCAGGTCGATTGGCCACGCATTTCTCAGAACTAGAACTTGGACACAGTTCTTGGGTTGCGGACACGAGACTTAACACGGTGAGTCATTTTATCTTTGTTATGCCATTATTAAACAAGGATGAAATGATACTCTATATTAAGTCAGCGGCACACGGTGCTTTCTTGCTCGCGTGCACTTTTGCTGGCCAGTGAGAGCCAATCGGGATTCCACGTGACAGGCTGCTGGCAGAGAACGATCCGTAAACGCTCAAGTCTTAGTCGTAGACGTAGACGTAATGCAAGGCAGAGAGAAATTCAAGTCGTATACTCTCACGACTAGAATTTTTCTTTGCCTTGCCTTACGTCTACGACTAAGACAGTCTTAAGCGTTTACGGATCGTTCTCTGCCGTCGGCCCAATGCGGCGTCTACGATGAGACTTTAAGATGCAAGATTTAAGAAATTAATCAATCACAGTGGAACGCGAGGATAATACTCGACTGTAATTGATCAATTTCCCAAATCTTACATCCTGAATGTCATTGTGGACACCGCGTAAAGCAGGGTAGAGAAAAACTCGAGAGTTGTGAGAGTCCAGCGGACACGACTTAAGTTTTTCCCCGCCGTGCCTTACGTCTAAGACAGACTCAAGCGTTTACGGGTCATTCTCTGCCATCAGCCATAGGTGGGACGATAAGACTGCGCCCCGATTAGCTCTCACCGCCCAGCCAAGGTGCACGCAGGCAGACCAGCGAGCAAAAAAGCATCGTGTGCCGCTGGCTTTACACCGTGCCAATCCGTCTCTCGCTGGAAAGCACTCGCAGTTAGTAAGCGAAACGTGATTCCACTTTTTTTTTGCTCTCTCCCTCCTCCCTTTCGAGGCTACAGTCAATACCCTTTACCTTCTGTATCTGGGCAGGATTCGGTGGTGGCCTGCCGCGTTGCGCGAAGGTCACGGACATTTTCGAAGCGACAACTCACGGCGTGGGACAAACTCGACCGGGTTCTCACTTCTCCGAGCGGGCGATCCTCCGTCACGCTATCGCGAGGAGCCACCTGGAAATACCTTAAAGCGTGGTACGTCCATCTCCGTCGTGTCTCCCGAGCGCGTTGCCGCGGTGGCCGAGGCGCGAGATCATCCGCGCGGGACCGCCGGGAACATCGCGGAGATTCTTTTTTTCGAACTCGACCCGCGCGTGTTATGCACCCACGCGCACGTATGTATATATATAGATAGATAGATATATGCGTATATGTACGTATATATGTGTGCCTAACCACAAACCAGTCGTGCGTGCAACGTATTTTTGCCGTAACGTATCTGACGCGTGTGGCAATTATCGTCAATTACCTCGCCAAGTGCATCCAATTTCGGAGTAGGGCGACACGAGAGATCGGTCAGCTGCCGAGACCGAAGGGGCTTGGGAGAGCAGCGCCACCGACGGCGGACGCGCCGACTAACGCCTTCGCCCCTCTCTCTCTCTCCTCCGGATGTTGCGTAAAGGTCGTCCTACATTAGTCGCAAAAGTAACCAATCGCATCGACGCAAGCAGCGCTACTTCCGGGGCTCTCGATTCTTGAATAAACGTATATGAGTAAATTCTGCTCCTACAGAAAATTGCTTGCAACTTAGGGCCGGTTCTACGTTGATCGTATCGTAATTTGATTAGACTAGGGGAACGATATAATTATATAATTGTATAAATACCTTGCCGTAAACAGTTCTGCTCTGAATTACTCCAAGTTTCGCTCAAATTATCCCGCGGGAGGGAAAGAAAACGATGGAGAAGTGGCAACGATATAGAGGACGTGCCAAATAACTAAGAAGATGTTGGAGATCCTGTTGCTAGAAACTTCGCCTGCTGCTAGACTGCTAGTAATAAACTAAGGGGAAAAAATAAATAAAAGATCGGATCGGAGATACACACGACCGGCGTGCATAAGAAAATTTGTCGTATCACGTTGACACAAGAGTAGCAGGGAGTAATACGTAATTCACAAATGGCTTCGTCGAAGGTGAGCGATTACTTTTTAAGTATTGCCAGGTCTGTAAAGTTGCGTTATTTCTGCAGATCGAGTTCGCGGTGCACATGACGTGCGAAAAGTGCGTCGATGCGATCGCCAAGAGTCTAGCGGGTCTGGATGGCATCCGGAATGTCGATATATCGCTGGAACAGGGCACAGTCACCCTCGAAGCGAGCCTACCTTACTCCGTCGTGCAGGAAAGGATTGAAAAAACCGGAAGGCAGGCAGTGTTGAAGGGATTCGGAGGTTTAAGCAATTATTTGCTTTAATGTATACAGTATAGTGTACTATCCTTTCATGTACAACGAACCTACCGGTTTCATTCGTGATTTCTGAAGCCAAGTGTTTCTGGAACTGTTGGGGAGAAAAGAGGAATGTTGTATGGAAAAAGAACTGAAATCTAGAAGACAAAGCTCGTGAACATTTCTCTATCTGGAATATTTCCTCTGTATATACTTTCACAATAGAAGCCTGTCTCGTAATAGATGACTTTCCTCTTTATGTATATTATTAGTGAATTTGGCAGCTTGCACTAGTGCGTACTGAAACGAGCCACACCAGGCTTGTTCGGAGTCAGCTCTTATATTTATAGTCATCTCAAGTACATGTCTAAAAACTATTTAGCCAAAAGAATGATCCATACGAATACTATAGAGATTATTTTACTGGCTAGGAAGTTTTTCAAAAAGTATTTAAGACTATTGTTAAATATAAGGATTAACTGTGAACAAGTCTTGGTGCACACTCAGTGCGCGCAAGGTGCAAGCTGCCGAATTCGCTATTAGACACCTGGTCTCTTGCAGACGGATCGAGTGCGGTGTCGATGCTGGGCGGGGACTCCGGATACAGCGTGGGTAATCTGATCAGAGGAGTAATAAGATTCGCGGAAGGCCCAGACGGATGCGTCATAGACGGTACGATTGACGGTTTAACTCCGGGCGAGCACGGCATTCACATTCACGAATGCGGCGATATATCTAATGGCTGTGATAAGTAAGCGCAAGCTTGCAAAAGCAAGGTACTCGGGTCGACCCTCTGATCCTCGAGTAAATGTATTTTATCCTCGTTGCAGCGTAGGCGAACACTACAATCCAAACAATTCGCCACACGGCGATCCCGGGGACGATCTGTCCAAGAGGGTAAATATGAATACGCCGTCAGATTCCTTAGATCTCGTGGCACTTTAATGACGTTGCGCGCAATCGCAGCACATTGGCGATCTTGGCAATATCCACGCGGACGCTACTGGCAGAGCTGCCTTTCGGAAGTCGGACAGGTTTCTCAAGGTACCCGATATCATTGGTAGGTCCGTCATTATCACCAAGGATCCTGACGATCTTGGAAGAGGCGACAGTCCAGAATCCAGGATAAATGGAAATAGCGGGGCTAGGTATGCGGAACGATTACCGTTGCGCCTTTCGCTGGGTCTGCAATACGTGCAGTGAGCTCTAAGTCGTAAGAAATCGATCGATCACGGACGATTATTCTTCTCACTTTCCGACCCTCACGGTTTAAGGCTTACTACACGTATTGTAGACCCGGAGCTTGACTGTCTCAACTGTCTCACATTAAACTTCTTTTCCTACTCAGGCTGGCCTGCGGCATTATAGCCAGGTCGTCCGGATTATTTCAAAATACGAAGAAGATTTGCGCGTGCGACGGCCTAACTATATGGGACGAAAGAGATCGGGCGATTAACCACGGTACAAAAAGTCGTACAGAGTCAAATGAGAGAATGTGCACGTTAATTTGAAAACTTCAAGTGTTACCTGTATTCGCTTTATGCGATAAAATTTCGTACTGTTAATTATTAATATAGAAAAAAATCTTCATTTGGTGGAGAGGAAAGAAAGAGCAAAGGAAAGAAGGATTTTCCTGGTCTCCTATGCTTTTTATTTTATTTTTAAAAGATTATAAGTGTGGGAGTTTTTTCTAGTAATCGTATATGTGATCCTTGAATTTATTGCGACATAATTTCTCGAGAAACAATTTGATTACGTGAAATAATTCGTACGCTTTTTCTTTTCAGCAAACTTGTAAGTCGCACGAAGACGTAACGCGATTGAACTAACAAAGAACACATTCCAGAATGCCTCTTGAACAGATATAAATGTACCACTTTTCGGTAAAATGAAATATATTAGATATCTAGTCTGTTTATGTACAAATTTTTATTAAATTACGAGCGTTATCATTTATATGCTTTATCTCTCTACTCCTGTATATTCACCATAACCAGCTAATATTCCAGTTTTTAAATCTGTTCAATGGAGCTGTACTTTATACCTGAACTGCCTGCACTAGTTCATCTGTGGGTGTGCTCCGTTTCAAGCATGATGCATCGTTTATCCTCCTTTAATATTTGGTGAATAACAAGGAGAGATAATGCTTCATGCGTGAGACGGAACGCACCCTATAAGGAACAGATCCAATATGGCGTTACTAACTTGAGTTAATCTTACGTAAGTTTACTGTTTATTGTGGCATGTTATAATACTACTTGAAGAAGTAGTAATGATGACAAGTGAAAAGAAGTAGAAGGAAGCTACGCTGGAAGTGACACGACCGCTTATTTGTGATCATGCAATGAAGAGAACGTAGCTTTGAAAACGCGTTGAGGTTATACTCAGTCGCAAAGTAAGTGACAAACAGAAATAAGTAAGGAGACCACCTGCAGTACAAAGTAGTAAAAAGTGTATAGCATTATCAGTGTTCAATATCTTCCAGAGATTCGCGTGGCTATTCGAAACTTTCCCTGGAGAAGAAACGACCAAGAATGGGGATCCCTGGTTTGATGAGGTACATATCCAACGACTCGGAGCGCTATCTCGAGTATTACGCACTGCACGACAGTTATTTGGTGATCGACGGCAACAACATATGCTGCCAGCTGTACATGTGGTATGCCAAGTGCAATTGCGCGTTCGGCGGCGAGTACGACAAGTACGCGCAATTAGTGAGGGATTTCTTCGATAAGCTCTTGAGGTGCAACGTTACCCCGCTGGTGCTGTTCGACGGCGGCTGCGAGGACAAGAAGCTCAAGACCATCGTGTCCCGAACCAAGCAGAAGACTGAGATTGCGTTGCACTACACCCTGGCCTCTCAGCAACGCACCAAGTTCCTGCCTCTGCTCTTGAGGGAGGTCTTCAAGGACGTGATGAACGAGAAGGGCATCAGATATGTGCAAAGCATCTTCGAAGCGGACAACACCATAGCTGCGATAGCGCGCATCCTCAATTGTCCCGTATTGAGCTACGACTCTGACTTCTTTATTTATGGATCGCTGTACATACCGTTCAATACGTTGGAAGAAGGCGTAGTGCCCAATCCGACGGGCAGGGGCTACATGAAACGCTGCAAGATTTATTGCGTCGAGAAGCTCTTTCAGATTTACCACGGACTGAATCAGTCCTTGTTGTTTCTGTCCTCGGTATTGCTGGGAAATGACTATGTGAGCCAGCGCACGTTTAAGAACTTCTTCCGTCATCTGTCGCGAATGGAGAGAAGGGGATACAGCAATGAGCAGCAGCGGCGCATAGGCGCCACGTTTCAGTGGCTACGGAGACGCAGTTTAAACGAGGCCGTAATAGGGATACTAGGTAGATTACGAAAGCAAGAGCGCAAACACGTGTTAAAAACGATAGAAACGATAATAAATGGTTACGTCAATGCGCCGCTAAGCGTGATACATATGCTGAATATCCCTCCAGAGGTCTTTTCGAGGCAACACTTGCGGAATATGCCCAAGGCGTACAAGTTTGAGGGTGATATAAATAACTTGACGTGTTACAATGAAAAGACAAATGAGATGGAATCGAGCGATGAGGGAGAAGCGGAAGACAAAGAAATAGCCGACATACTTGAAGAAAAAGCATTGGACTCAAATGAGTCTCAGGTTGACAATTTGCCCAAGTGGTTCATTACCGAGTTCAAACAGAGCAGATTTCCCTCTTATTTCATAGACTTGATAATAAGAAAATTATACGTTTGTCCTGTGCAGATCGAGGATCCTTCCCGTGCCTCGTCTATCGTTGTAAGCTTGAAAGTCTTAGGTGTTATCTACGGGGTGCTCTTGTCAGAAGGGAAGAAAAGCAACATGGAATATGTAACCAGAGACGAGAACAAGGGAATAAAGCGTTATCAGTTGGAATACAGCGATAATATACTTGGTTGTAAACTACCTCCTTTACCCAGCCTGAGGGAATTGCCTATTGTCGTCAGGAGGGAAATTTTAAACGCGACGTTGACGATCTCCGATGCGAAGTACATAAACGAAATCCCGTCGGATTGGATGCTGTACATCGCAACCATGAGGTACTGGATAGATCAACAACAGGAACCGTCGCAATATAGTTGTCACGTGTACTCCTTATTGTTCGCCTTGCTGTTTAACATAATCGACAACAATGTAGGCTACTATAGAATCCTGAGCAGGTTTCAGCAAAAATGTAATAGAGCTGCGGAGAACATTCGACGCGAAAGAAGGACAAGAAACTATCAGCCGCAATACTCGATCGACGCTACACTCGCGGACGCGGTCTGCCAGGTTAATGCCGACGATTGCTTACTCGCAGCCGCATTCTTCGTATCCAATTTCGAAGTTGATCGGAAACTGTATTCGCAGCCGAAAAAATTTAACATTACACTTATTCATGGTTTTGCGGAGTTTCAAAGTTGCTTGAGGCATGTTATGCACTTAAATGCGTTATTAGGATACCCGTATGAACCAACCAAGGTCGCTACCGTGTTCAACGGTACATTATTGTATAATTTGTGTAGCAATTTTACAAAACGCGACGACGTTGAGGTTTACATCAAATTAATTTTGCAAGATTCTCCGAGTTTGTCGCGTCTGTTTGACATACTTTTATCCAAAGTCAAACCTTTGCTTGATACTGTACTGGAGAAGAAAACCAATAAACGTAAGAAGCAAAAGGTAAAAAGATATGAGAAAAAGGAGTGTGTTACGCACGAAGAAAGTCTTGAAGAGGAAAACACCTGTGAAAACACCAGTGATGAAGCATTCTACGATGTAAATAATCCTTTCTCCGTGCTTGGAAACGCGCAGCATTAACTTCTTCATTACACCTAATTGAACTGCGTGTAATTACATTGTATCTCTGCAATTCACGTAATTTATAAATTTTTTATATATTAACTTTATATATAAACAATTTGTATTTGTATAAGATATAACGCATAAGGACATCGAAAATTTTACAATGGTATTGTATCATTGATGTTAAAGTTTCTTGACGATGGTTCTTAAATTGGAAAAAATCTATATTTTCGCTACTGCCGATTACATCGATGTTATAGGAACTCACGTAATCCTTTCGTTTTTGATATGAGAACGATCTCTCGGTGCTTGCTCTCTTCTTGTATTAGGCGACTGCTTGTTCTAAATGGATAACAAATGGAAGGGATGTTTATTGCACGATGCAAAGAATAAAATAAATTAATACATTACGTTTTTGTACATCTCCCAAAATGCGCTGAACGTTGTTTTAGCAGCATTAGTCTCTTCTCGTGCAATTGGTATATAATGTTCGTCTCCGTGTTTAGCGATCTCTTAAATTTTCTAATTTTGCAAATAACTGAAATTTTTGTAATACCTTCACGGACGTGCATGCAGCATTTGCGGCGTTATTGGGATCTTTTCCATTTGAAATGTATTTTGTTAAAACGTCTTATTCTAATCGATGATGCTACTTGTGAAAATTAAAGACAAACGTTATATCTACTTGTATTATAGAAATGTGTATATTATCGTAATCAAGATTTATAATAAAAAGATGTATGTTACAATTAAGATTTACAATTAACGCTGTTGCTAATAAAATGTTTTTCTAATGAAATTTTTGCTAAAACCGTGTAAATTGCACACAGATAATTATATACAGTAAAACGTCCCACATCTGCGCCGGTCGGGACCGGAAGTGACCCAACATCTGCGTCAGAAAACGGCGGTGGTGGGGGAGCTAACCATTGAAAACGCGAAGATGTGGGACGGAAACTAGCGAAGATATGGGACGCGCGCAGATGTGGGACGTTCCACTGTAATCTGTGAATTTACAGTATTCGATGCATTAATGTTATTAGTATACTAGTAACATTAATGCATCGATTCACAGAAAAAATTATTTGTGTAAAAATAATATACAGTTATCAAACAAACACTATAGTGTTTAAATTGTTGCTACAGTGGAACGTCCCACATCTGCGCTTCCCACATCTGCGCGCATCCCATATCTTCGCTAGTTTCCGTCCCACATCTTCGCGTTTTCAATGGTTAGCTCCCCCACCACCGCCGTTTTCTGACGCAGATGTTGGGTCACTTCCGGTCCCGACCGGCGCAGATGTGGGACGTTTTACTGTAGTGAGCGCAAACTGTTGCAACCGGCCAACCGATAACAACGGTTATTCGCCATAACTTTACCACTAAAGTTTTAGGGGGGGGGGGGACCAACAGTGCTGCGCTCTGCTCTGCCTCGTGACTCGAAGGTGTGAACTGTGAACTAATCAAACTTCCGTCACCATTAAAATACGAAGAGTTTGGATGGTTTGGATTCCCTGGTTATAATATTATAGGAAGAAATAGCAATGATGACAAGAGTTGAAGGAAGTAGAAGAATGCTTTGCTGGAAGTGACATAACCGCTTATTTGTGATCATTCAATGAAGAGAACGTAGCTTTGAAAACGCGTTGAGTTTATACTCAGTCACAAACAAACAAAGTAAGTGACAAACATAACCTAACCACCAACTGCAGTACAAAGTTGTAAATAATGTATATGTCAGAGTTCAATACCTTCCAGAGATTCGCGTGGTTAATCGAAACTTTTCCTAGAGAAGACTCAACCAAGAATGGGTATCCCTGGTTTGATGAGGTTCATATGCAGCGACTCGGAGCGCTATCTCGAGTATTACGCACTGCACGACAGTTATTTGGTGATCGACGGTAACAACATAAGCTACCTGCTGTACGACTGGTACGCGAACTGCAATGACGCGTTCGGCGGCGATTACGATCAGTACGCGCAATGCGTGAGGGATTTCTTCGACGAGCTTTTGAGGTGCAACGTTACCCCACTGGTGCTATTCGACGGCGGCTGCGAGGACAAGAAGCTCAAGACCATCGTGTCCCGAACCAAGGAGAAGACTGAGATTGCGTTGCACTACACCCTGGCCTCTCAGCAACGCACCAAGTTCCTGCCTCTGCTCTTGAGGGAGGTCTTCAAGGACGTGATGAACGAGAAGGGCATCAGATATGTGCAAAGCATCTTCGAAGCGGACAACACCATAGCTGCGATAGCGCGCATCCTCAATTGTCCCGTATTGAGCTACGACTCTGACTTCTGTATTTATGGATCGCTGTACATACCGTTCAATACGTTGGAAGAAGGTGTAGTGCCCACCCCAACAGGCAGGGGCTACGCGAAACGCTGCAAGATTTATTACGTCAAGAAGCTCTTTCAAGTTTACTACGGACTGAATCAGTCCTTGTTGTTGCTGTCTTCGGTATTGCTGGGAAATGACTATGTGAGCCAGCGCACGTTTAAGAACTTCTTCCGACATCTGGCGCAAATGGAGAGAAGGAGATACAGCAATGAGAAGCAGCGGCGCATAGGCGCCACGTTTCAATGGCTACGGAGACGTAGTTTAAACGAAGCCGTAATAGAGATACTAGGTAGATTACGAAAGCAAAAGCGCAAAGACGTATTAAATACGATAGAAACTACGATAAATAGTTACGACGATGCGTCGCTAAGCGTGATACATATGCTGAATATCCCTGCAGAGATCTTGTCGAGGGTACACTTGCGGAATATGCCTAAGGCGTACAAGTTTGAGGGCGATATAAATAATTTAACATGTTACGATGAACAGACAAATGAGATGGAATCGAGCGATGAGGGAGAAGCGGAAGACAAAGAAATAGCCGACATACTTGATGAAAAAGCGTTGGACTCAAATGAGTCTCAGGTTGACAATTTGCCCAAGTGGTTCATTACCGAGTTCAAACAGAGCAGATTTTCCTCTTATTTCATAGACTTGATAATAAGAAAATTATACGTTTGTCCTGTGCAGATCGAGGATCCTTCCCGTGCCCCGTCTGTCGTTGTAAGCTTGAAAGTCTTAGGCGTTATCTACGGAGTGCTCTTGTCAGAAGGGAAGAAAAGCAACATGGAATATGTAACCAGAGACGAGAACAAGGGAATAAAGCGTTATCAGTTGGAATACAGCGATAATATACTTGGTTGTAAGCTACCTCCTTTACCCAGCCTGAGGGAATTGCCTATTGTCGTCAGAAGGGAAATTTTAAACGCGACGTTGACGATCTCCGATGCGAAGTACATAAACGAAATCCCGTCGGATTGGATGCTGTACATTGCAACCATGAGGTACTGGATAGATCAACAACAGGAACCGTCGCAATATAGGTGTCACGTGTACTCCTTATTGTTCGCCTTGCTGTTTAACATAATCGACAACAATGTAGGCTACTATAGAATCCTGAGCAGGTTTCAGCAAAAATGTAATAGAGCTGCGGAGAACATTAGACACGAAAGAAGGACAAGAAACTATCAGCCGCAATACTCGATCGACGCTACACTCGCGGACGCAGTCTGCGAGGTTAATGTCGACGATTGCTTACTCGCAGCCGAATTCTTCGTATTCAATTTCGAAGTTGATCAGAAACTGTATTCGCAACCGGAAGAATTTAACATTACACTTATCCACGGTTTTGCGGAGTTTCAAAGTTGCTTGAGGCATGTTATGCACTTAAATGCGTTATTAGGATACCCGTATGGACCAACCAAGGTCGCTGCCGTGTTCAATGGTACATTATTGTATAATTTGTGTAGCAATTTTACAAAACGCGACGACGTTGAGGTTTACATCAAATTAATTTTGCAAAACTCTCCGAGTTTGTCGCGTCTGTTTGACATACTCTTATCCAAAGTCAAACCTTTGCTTGCTACTGTACTGGAGAAGAAAACCGATAAACGTAAGAAGGAAAAGATAAAGAAGTATGAGGAAAAGGAGTGTGTTACAGACGAGGAGACTCGTGAAGAGGAAAGTACCTGCGAAAACACCAGCGGTGAAGCAGTCTACGATGTTAATAATGCTTTATCCATGCTTGGAATCACGCAGCATTAACTTTTTTATTATACCTAATTTTAACTGCGTACAATTGTATCGCTGCAATTCACGTAATTTATAATTTTATATATTAATTTCATATATAAACAATTTGTATATGTATAAGATATAACGCATAAGGACATCTAAAAATTTTACAATGGTATTGTATCATTGATGATCAAGTTTTATGACTATGGTTCTTAAATTGGAAAAAATCTAAATCCTCGCTACTGTTGGTTTCGTCGTTGTTAGAGGAACTCACGTAATCCTTTCGTTTTTTATACGATAACGATCTCTCGGTACTTGATCTCTTCTTTCTCGTATTAGGCAACTGCTTGTTCTAAATGGATAACAAATTGAAGGGATGTTTGTTGTACGATGCAAAGAATAAAATAAATTAATACATTACGTTTTTGTACATCTCCGAAAATGCGCTGAACGCTGTTGTAGCGGCATTAGTCTCTTCTCGTAAAGTTGGTATATAATATTGGTCGTCTTCGTGTTTAGCGAGCAATCCGACGTAAACAGCATACTTTAATTTCTCCTCTAATTCTCGCTCGAGAGCTTTGACATCGGTTTCCACCGGATAATGCCTTTGGATGTAATCTCTTAAATCTTTTAATTTTACAAATAGTTGAAATTTTTGAAATGCTTTCACGGATGTGTAGCATTTGCGGCGTTATTGGGATTTTCTCCATCTGAAATGTATTTTGTGAAAACGTCTTATTCTAATCGATGATGCTACTTGTGAAAATTAAAAACAAACGTTATATCTACTTGTATTATAGATATGTGTATATTATCGTAATCAAGATTTATAATAAAAAGATATGTTACAATTAAGATTTACAATTAACGCTGTTGCTAATAAAATGTTTTCCTAATGAAATTTTTGATCAAAACGTGTAAGTTGCACACAAATAATTATATAATATACTGTGAATTTACAGTATTCGATGCATTAATGTTATTAGTATACTAGTAACATTAATGCATCGACTCACAGAAAAAATTATTTGTGTAAAAATAACATACAGTTATCAAACAAACACTATAATGTTTAAATTGTCGCTAGTGAGCGCAAACTGTTGCAACCGATAACAACGGTTATTCGCCATAACTTTACCACTAAAGTTTAGTGGGGGGGGGGGGGGACCAACAGTGCTGCGCTCTGCCTCGTGACTCGAAGGTGTGAACTAATCAAACTTCCGTCACCGTTAAAATACGAAGAGTTTGGATGGTTTCCCTGGTTATAATATTATAGGAAGAAATAGCAATGATGACAAGAGTTGAAGGAAGTAGAAGAATGCTTTGCTGGAAGTGACATGACCGCTTATTTGTGATCATTCAATGAAGAGAACGTAGCTTTGAAAACGCGTTGAGTTTATACTCAGTCACAAACAAACAAAGTAAGTGACAAACAAATATAAGCAAGGAAACCAACTGCAGTACAAAGTTGTAAAAATGTATATGTCAGAGTTCAATATCTTCCAGAGATTCGCGTGGTTAATCGAAACTTCCTAGAGAAGACTCAACCAAGAATGGGGATCCCTGGTTTGATGGGGTTCATATCCAGCGACTCTGAGCGTTATCTCGAGTATTACGCCCTGCACGACAGTTATTTGGTGATTGATGGTTTCAACATAAGCAGCCTGCTGTACGACTGGTATGCGAACTGCAATGACGCGTTCGGCGGCGATTACGATCAGTACGCGCAATGCGTGAGGGATTTCTTCGACGAGCTCTTGAGGTGCAACGTTACCCCGCTGGTGATATTCGACGGCGGCAGCGAGGACAAGAAGCTGAAGAATGGCCTGTTCCGAGCCAAGGAGAACACTCGAAATAAGTTGCACTACACTCTGACCACTCAGCAATGCACCAGATTCCAGCCTCTGCTCTTTACGGAGGTCTTCAAGGATGTGATGAACGAGAAGGACATCACATACATGCAGTGCATCTTCGAAGCAGACAACACCATAGCTGCGATAGCGCGCATCCTCAATTGTCCCGTATTGAGCTATGACTCTGACTTCTTTATTTCTGGATCGTTGTACATACCGTTCAATACGTTGGAAGAAGGCGTAGTGCCCACCCCAACGGGCAGGGGTTACACGAAACGCTGCAAGATTTATTACGTCAAGAAGTTCTTTCAAGTTTACTACGGACTGAATCAGTCCTTGTTGTTGCTGTCTTCGGTATTGCTGAGGAATGACTACAAGAAGCAGTGCACGTTTAAGAACTTCTTCCGACATCTGCCGCAAATGGAGAGAAGGAAATACAGCAATGAGCAGCAGCGGCGCATAGGCGCCACATTTCAGTGGCTACGGAGACGTAGTTTAAACGAAGCCGTAATAGGGATACTAGGTACATTACGAAAGCAAAAGCGCAAAGACGTATTAAATACGATAGAAACTATGATAAATAGTTACGACGATGCGTCGCTAAGCGTGATACATATGCTGAATATCCCTGCAGAGATCTTGTCGAGGGTACACTTGCGGAATATGCCTAAGGCGTACAAGTTTGAGGGCGATATAAATAATTTAACACGTTACGATGAACAGACAAATGAGACGGAATCGAGCGATGAGGGAGAAGTAGAAGACAAAGAAATAGCCGACATACTTGAAGGAAACGCTTTGGATTCCGATGAGTCTCTGGTTGACAATTTGCCCACGTGGTTCATTACCGAGTTCAAACAGAGCAGATTTCCTTGTTTTTTCATAAACTTGATAATAAGAAAATTATACATTGCTCCTGTGCAGATTGAGGATCCTTCCCGTGCCTCGGCTGTCTTTGTAAGCGTGAAAGTCCTAGGTGTTATCTGCGGGATGCTCTTATCAGAAGGGAAGAAAAGCAACATGGAATATGTAACCAGAGACGAGAACAACGGAATAAAGCGTTATCAGTTGGAATACAGCGATAATATACTTGGTTGTAAACTACCTCCTTTACCCAGCCTGAGGGAATTGCCTATTGTCGTCAGAAGGGAAATTTTAAACACGACGTTGACGATCTCCCATGCGAAGTACATAAACGAAATCCCGTCGGATTGGATGCTGTACATCGCAACCATGAGGTACTGGATAGATCAACAACAGGAACCGTCGCAATATAGTTGTCACGTGTACTCCTTATTGTTCGCCTTGCTGTTTAACATAATCGACAACAATGTAGGCTACTATAGAATCCTGAGCAGATTTCAGCAAAAGTGTAATAGAGCTGCGGAGAACATTCGACACGAAAGAAGGATAAGAAACTATCAGCCGCAATACTCGATCGACGCTACACTCGCGGACGCAGTCTGCGAGGTTAATGTCGACGATTGCTTGCTCGCAGCCGAATTCTTCGTATTCAATTTCGAAGTTGATCAGAAACTGTATTCGCAACCGGAAGAATTTAACATTACACTTATCCATGGTTTTGCGGAGTTTCAAATTTGCTTGCAGCATGTTATGGACTTAAATGCATTATTAGGATACCCGTATGAACCAACCAAGGTCGCTGCCGTGTTCAATGGTACATTATTGTATAATTTGTGTAGCAATTTTACAAAACGCGACGACGTTGAGGTTTACATAAATTTAATTTTGCAAGACTCTCCGAGTTTGTCGCGTCTGTTTGACATACTCTTATCCAAAGTCAAACCTTTGCTTGCTACTGTACTGGAGAAGAAAACCGATAAACGTAAGAAGGAAAAGATAAAAAGGAATGAGGAAAAGGAGTGTGTTACAGACGAGGAGACTCGTGAAGAGGAAAGTACCTGCGAAAACACCAGCGGTGAAGCAGTCTACGATGTTAATAATGCTTTATCCATGCTTGGAATCACGCAGCATTAACTTTTTTATTATACCTAATTTTAACTGCGTACAATTGTATCGCTGCAATTCACGTAATTTATAATTTTATATATTAATTTCATATATAAACAATTTGTATATGTATAAGATATAACGCATAAGGACATCTAAAAATTTTACAATGGTATTGTATCATTGATGTTCAAGTTTTATGACTATGGTTCTTAAGTTGGAAAAAATCTAAATCCTCGCTACTGTCGGTTTCGTCGTTGTTAGAGGAACTCACGTAATCCTTTCGTTTTTGATACGATAACGATCTCTCTGTACTTGATCTCTTCTTTCTCGTATTAGGCAACTGCTTGTTCTAAATGGATAACAACTTGAAGGGATGTTTGTTGCACGATGCAAAGAATAAAATAAATCAATACATTACGTTTTTGTATATCTCCGAAAATGCGCTGAACGCTGTTGTAGCGGCATTAGTCTCTTCTCGTAAAGTTGGTATATAATATTGGTCGTCTTCGTGTTTAGCGAGCAATCCGACGTAAACAGCATACTTTAATTTCTCCTCTAATTCTCGCTCGAGAGCTTTGACATCGGTTTCCACCGGATAATGCCTTTGGATGTAATCTCTTAAATCTTTTAATTTTACAAATAGTTGAAATTTTTGTAATGCTTTCACGGATATATGTAGCATTTGCGGCGTTATTGGGATTTTCTCCATCTGAAATGTATTTTGTGAAAACGTCTTATTCTAATTGATGATGCTACTTGTAAAAAATAAAAGGGTTATATCTACTTTTATTATAAAAATGCAGATATTACTGTACGGACAAGATTTATAATACAAAGATGTTACAATTCAGATTTATAATTAACGTTGTTCCTAATAAAATGTTTTCCTGACGAAAGTTTTGATAAGAAAGTGTGAATTTATTATTAATGTATTAATGTTAATTAATAGGCGCACTCAAACAATTATATAATACTTGAACTTACGGTATTTGATGCATTAATGTTATTAGTAATGTTTGTTTGATAACTGTATATTATTTTGACACGAGTAATTTTAACAATTAGACGACATAATTTATTAATTGAACGTAACCGACAATTCGTAATGCGCATGAATACATTTCCTTGTTTTTCAATTTTAATTAAAATTGAGTAAAATTTTCAAGTTACGAAATTTATAAAACACGAAAATATGTTATTATTTACGTAGGAAAATAATGGTTAGAATTGAAACAAACTTAAAAAGGAGATTGTAAAGTTCTAAAATTCCATAAAATTATTCTATTTATTTACTACTCAGTGATAGGGATATCAGTCTTAAACAAATAACATATACTTATATGCATATAATGCAACATATATTAAGAGAAATGCACTATTATTCAAAACCGATGTATGGTATTTTGTCAAATTACATATATTTCATTGATTACAGAATAACAAGTACATTTTGTATACATATTTATATTTTTCTCTCATAATTATAAATATTGTTATCAGTAGATTATGTCAAATCTCTCTTTTGTATTCTTTACAAAATATATTTGTTTTATAAAAATGTATCACTTTCAAAATGGAATGAAATAGTGATTTAAATTAAAAGTTACGTGAAAAACTACTAGTATTTCTATATAAAATATTTAAAAATTTAGATAAAAATTTTTATTTTTAATAATATTTACTATATGTATAAAATAAGTTGCATATACACTATTTTTTAAATTCTCACCAAATTGTAACTTTTTTTCTACCAAAAAACTATTTAAAATCAGTAATTTATTTTAATCGTGACTATAATGGCATTATTGTGACTAAAACATTGTTCCGCTCACTCTTCGAAAAGATCAATACTTCAGTTATATTATACATCGAAATTTACATGCGCATTTAGCTTACATTTTAACACATGTAGTTTTCTTTGCGTACATATAATATTAGTGGTATTAATTGATAATAGTTTAAAGTAAATATATATGTGCTTTTCCTAATATATATTAGGAAAAGCTTTGCCTCTTCCTTTTTATAATTAAAAAACAAGTTAATAAAATATTAGTGTAATTAAAAAATATATGCAGACAATGACCAGATAAAATCATTTTTAATATACAATTAAAAAGTACTAGTGTAAATTAATATACTAAAATGCCTTTCGGCGAATTATTTACGTTTCTCTTATAATTTTTAAATAATTCGTGCGTAATTACATAATTAGGTAACATGTCATAAAATGGTTTAGTAAACTATACTATTTTATTGAATTTAAAGTTTCCAAAAATTACATAAATATGCTTAATGATTGTTTAAAAATCTTGTCGTGTCCAATGTAATATCAAGCGAATTGCATAGATTCCTTCATATGTACAAGTCTGATACTATTACTACATTATCAAGATATCACATGACAAGCTTAGCGGTAAATAAAATACAAAATATCATAAGCTTCCTATGCTAGAGTTTTAGGGAAAATTTTAATGAATATTATATAGAATATTCCGACACAAATTAACCGATAGTCAACCAAAGGTAATCGATTTACAAATATAAGTGAGACAGCTTAATGTAGATTATTAAAAATTTGATATCACATCAGAATCAAATTACAATACGCTATTACATCATATATTAATACAGATTTGAATATAGCGGGATTCATAATAAATTAGTTGCGAAAATGACGTCTGAACAATATTTTTACAACAATTACGTAATTATATTACAATTTGGTACCGGCTGGTTGCAATAGTAATATTAGTAATTCGAGAACTATTATAGCTCTTCCAGCATTATACCTAAGCCCTATATACAGTATAAGCTCATATTAGATTGTTAGTTGTTCTATACTTAAATTTTCTTACCTCTGCAACTATAACAAAATACCATTGCACTGGATCTAACATATAGAATTTTTGTCTAATATATTTTTTTCTCTTGATATCTTATTTCTATATCGATGAGAATGCGTCGCATATATCGAGCTTGAAATAACAATTATATTTTTTCCGCAAAACGATTCACTTCACCATGATTATGAGGTACCGACACCACACTGCAAGAATTGTAGGAAATAGGAAAACGATTGATACATTCGTATCATTCAACGAGTGTGACACAAAAGCTGTGGAAAACGATCTTATTAAATCCCTCAACCTTTTGGATCGTTATTCCATATGTTTACAAAATATTGCACGCAGAAAACAATAACAATAATAAGTAAAGTTTCCACGAAACTTTTGAACATATTTATGTTGTGATGCTGTTCTCCAGACTCTCTTTGCTTCCTTACAACTTGCTCTACAATCAGCTGTATACGATTCAATTTTTCACCATGATCTATCATTTGATGCTCTATTCCTTTCATTATGTCAATTAACCTAAAATGAGTAATATTTAAATATTATTAGAGATTATAGAGAAATGTTATGCACATTATAAAGTTAATGTTTCACGATGCTTTTTATAGTTATATCTTATATATTGTAAGTTATATTTTAATATTCTTACCTAGCAGTTGAACGTCTTCTTTTTCCTATGGATTGACTAGAATCAGTATGTGCTTCTGCAGATGAGCTTCCAGAGTCATGAGCTCCTGTCAAAGGCATATTATTTGATAGTTGTCTCTTAGAAGATTTGAGCACTGATAAGGAGGAACGTGATTCAGCTTGTAACAATGGAATCTGCAATTATTTATAATTTAGATAATTAATTGAACTTAAATAGGTGACATACATTTAAACAGCTTCATGCGTGGTTAATGTGCTAACGTGGATGTTTCTTAAGTTTAAAATCTAGCTAGAAATCTTATTGATTAATTTTTAAAGCTACACATATATCTTGTCTTTTTTGTTGGGTAGCCATTTAGTACTCAAGCTATTTAAACAAATGCTTTTTGAATTATATTAAATATACGTAGTAATTAAAACGCAAATAAATTAAAATAATACAATGCGTCAATGAAAAGAGATAAGATCTTAATTATTTGTTAAAAACAAAAATATATAGTAATAAATACTAAAAGCATCTTTCTATTAGTCTACATAATTTTTTGTTTTTATTATTCACACGTGCTAGATTATAAATTTATTTTTATTCTATTTAATTGATTTTAGTATCTTTCATATTTCTTCTCTGATAAAGGCAACATGACTTTTATGATATGTACCGTTTTTTGCTTCAGAAAGATGACGATACATGTATGATGTTCAAAATTATAGAAAATTATATACATACTCGTATATTAAAATATTATAGACTCTTACGCTATATACAACCGTCTAAGATATCTATCTAAACTTACTTTAAATGTATAATAATTTTAGATTTATGGGACCACGTAATAGAATCTTAAAACTAACGAATAATTACGCAAAAATTATAGTAAGTTGATTAATACAATAATAACACAATATTATATGCCAAAGTAAACTACAAAGTTAAGCGACACGTCCAGTTTATTATAAACATCAGAGCTGCATACAATCTATTCAAATCCATAGGTAGCAAACAGAATAAAGTAGTATAACATGCAGTTGTTTAGTAGTACTACCGGCGCAAGTAGACACATAAAGCGGTTAAAGTAATTATTACTTATAGAAAGATGTGTACAAATGTTAAAACAGCATGCACAGTGTAAACTACATTTTACATCGCTGTACCTGTGACTGTGGTTCAGTAGAAACAATACTACCAGTACGCATAATAGGTGTTTTATGCCTGGTTTTTGTGCGCACTACATAATCTTCTTCGTATTGTACCACATCATTTCTCGGATCCCACGGTCTTACATCAGCATGTCGATAAACCCAATTTCCAGTTATAATGTCCTAACGGAACCGGAAAAAATTGGAAATTATTTTACAAACATTAATATACGATGAATAACTGACATGTCCAGAAATGTCATGTGTAAAAGCACTGTGTATCATACTTGAACGAAATATTTTGGGATCCATTCTTGTCCTAGACTCTTTCGCTCTTTAGCGCGTTCTCTTTGTGCTTCCTCAAGTCGAGTCTTAGCCTCAGTAGCGGCAACCTGATCGTCCGCATTAATAGCGTGTGTAACAGCTAGCCACAACTTTTCGCTTTCCCACGGTCCCTGATGTTCCATAGGAACGGAAAATTTCCTCAATCTCTTTTTACGTACTTCCGGAGTCGGATTAAAGAAAACATTTTCCTGCTGCAAAATAAAACATTATATTAATAGCTATCTAAAATCCATCGATTAAGATTCAAGTTTTATCTTACTCCTGTCCGCTTGTCTGTTATTAAAATCAATCCATCCCAATATCCCGAAATAGTAGCTAGTGTTTCCTTTCCAAGACGTATTCGTCCCACAACTTGATTCATTAATTCCGTACCGCCAAGAAACGGCTAAAAATATTATTTTTATCACATATTTTTGATTAATGAATTAACATTATTTCTAAGCAAATTAACATAATTAAACATTATTAGATGCCATAATGTAAATGCAACAAAATATGCTATTTATTACCTTGAGTTTAAACTCTAATTCAGTGTGATAGCCGGTTTTCTCGCATATTATGTTTACTTTTCCACCAAGTTCCATCGATAGTGTTCCCATAAGAATGCCCTTGCAATGTGCATAAGGAATTGTCATTGTATAATCTTCACCTCTCGGCAGCATCGTTAATACGGCGATACCATCCAAAACTGCAGAAGTTGAATTTCCTGCAAAAATTCGATATGTACAGTATAAATAATGTTACCAATATACAAGCATCGGATAGAAGCATTAATATTATTATATTTTATAGAAAATTAATTATTCACCATAAAATTTAGACTTTGCAATAATCGTAGCGCCAATTGTAAATCCATCTTGGCGATTTGTCACATAAAATCCTGAGATAGGTGGATGATGCGACAGCTAGCAGAAACATTTAGACACATGCGTTAAGATATAATACTAATCTATAAAGAAAAGTTAATAATTGGCTGCATATTGACTCTAAGTTGGTTTAAGAAAATTTATTATTGCAGATGGAGAATTTCAGCAATATTGCGACAATATCGATAAAATGTAATATTGTTAACCCTAGAACGCACAACCGGGGTCGATTCAGACCTTCGGCGAATTTGGAACTACGCTCCTGAGCTAGCGAGTGGCATTATCGACTCACGACCTGGTCCATAATTCATTTCAACTCTCTGAAAGTAAAGCTATGTCGGTCGCAGCGTTAGTTGTTCGCTGGCTGGCAGTGACGCAGCACCGTCACACAGCGTGGGTGGGGTCGATATTGACCCCAGTTGTGAGTTGCCATTTGTGTTTTGTGGCGGTAAGCTAATTTTATATTTTTTGCTAGAATCAATATATTTCATGTATTATTACGTAATCTGAGCATAGTCATAAATATTATTTAAGACGAAATATCACACAACTTAGTCGATAAACATCCCGTTGCCTATAGAAGATTGACATTTCGCAGAAAATGGCTGGGCGATATAATTTGAGACCCATATCAGCGCTCGCTGAAACTCTCAGAGCGACTGAGAGAGAACAAGCATCCGATATTCCTTCCGAGGAAGAAGATCATGCGGTGGAATTCAGTGGATCGGAGTCGGAGGAAGACGCTGACGAAATATCCGAGCAATCGGACGAAGGTGACTCTAGAGAACGTTTGAATCGTGCCCGAAGGCCAAGCATCATTCATGGAGAAGATGGCCACCGGTGGTATACGACACCGCGGCAACGATCCCAGAGCCGGCAAAATATTCCGGTATCTTATGTGCCAGGTCCGGTTGGTGAGGCAAGACGAGCCAGCACTCCTCTTCAAACGTGGAGCTTGTTGTTCCCCGATTCCCTCATTGAAAAGATTGTCCGTCATACGAATGAAGAAATTCTTCGTTATCGAGATTGGCTTGAAATCAATGATGATCAACATGACACGTACTCCGAAGTTGGAATTGTGGAAATCAAAGCGTACATCGGGTTATTGTACTTGTCGGGTCTCCAGAAGACATCGCACACCGATCTTGATGATCTATGGAGCCCCGAATACGGCTCCATAATGTACCCATCAACGATGTCGCGTGATCGGTTCTTCGTAATTACGAGAAATTTACGCTTTGACGATAAAACCACAAGGGATGAGCGAAGAGAAACCGATAAATTCGCTCCAATCCGTGAGCTGTGGGAACAATTCATATCGAATTGTACTAAATATTACAATCCAGCCTCATACTGCACAATTGACGAACAATTAGTTCCTTTTCGCGGACGATGTCCATTCAAAGTGTATAATGGCGGCAAGCCCAATCAGTCTGGCATGAAGATCGTTATGCTAAATGACTCGGGGACGTTCTACATGTTCTCTGCTGAGCCATACGTGGGAAGAGTCACAACAGAGGAAGGGGAGAGTATCCAATCTTATTACATCCGGAAGTTGTCACAGCCGCTGCACGGAACGAAAATAAATATAACATGTGACAATTGGTTCTCGTCAATACCAATTTTTGAGAAGATGCTGACAGAGCATTCAATCACGATGGTCGGAACACTTCGAAAAAACAAACGCGAAATTCCCGACTATTTCCGAAGCGCAGGACCTGTGCCATCGTCGAAATTCGCATTTGATGAGAGAATGACTCTGGTGGTCCACACTCCGAAACGAAATAAAATCGTCATGTTGCTCTCGACCTTCCATGATTGTGCAACAATCAATCAGGAGACTCAAAAGCCGGAGATAATTCATTTTTATAATTCAACAAAAGGAGGTACCGATTCATTCGATCAAATGTGCCATGAATATTCGACGGCTCGAAAGACTCTACGGTGGCCCACGAGGATATGGCATGCGATGCTTGATCAAGGAGGAATTAACGCCTTTATCCTTTACAACTTCAACGCTAATCTAGAAGCCTTGGACAGGAGGAAGTTCCTAAAAAATCTAATAAAAGCCCTAGTGGAGCCGCACCTGCGAGCAAGACTACAATTGCCCAATTTTCGTCGTGAGCTTCGTTTCAACATCCATACGATTCTTGGGCAAGGAGAGAGGCCCGTGAAACAAGTCGGCCAAAAGAAGCGCGCAAGATGTAGCTTGTGTCCCAGGGCACAGGATCGCAAGTCTCAGATGTATTGCGAAATGTGTCACCGAACCGCCTGCGAAGATCACAGAGTTGTCTTCTGCTGCGATTGTGCGAGTTATGCGAATTATGCGAGACATTGCGATTAAATAAGTATTTTTCCCATTCCATCCCATTACCATTCTCTTCTTTATTAAAAAATGAAGAAATTAATGTATTATTAAGGCCCTTTATCTCTGTAGGACCGGTTTTACGATCAAAAAAAGCGTGGGGTCGATATTGACCCCAGTTATGAGTTAAAAGGTAAAAAAAATGACGTGTGAGTTCTAGGGTTAATGTAATATCTTCTGAGTCATTACTTGTTCGGCCAAATAAAATGTTCTTGAACCATTGGGATGTTGCCAATAGCAGCGGAATGTTTCGCCCAAAAGCGGATTGTATGGCTTCTTCAATCCTTGTGGTTTCTTGTAAAATCCCGATAAGTACCACTTCACTACGGCTTTCATACGCGTAAATGCATCATCTTCCAACACTGCTCTGTAAAACGAAATAAAATTCAAAAATGATGATTAATATATTATGCGTATTCGCACAAAAATCGTGACGTAGATGTACTGCTACGTTTTACTAACTGGGACAATAAATCAGCATGATAATACGAATCAGCCAGTTTTTCCAGAAATGAACGCGATTCCAAAATAAATGTTGGCAATACAACTTTAGACAGATCCATGCCGGGACGAACTTGTTTCATTAAGAACCATATTAAAGACTTTTGCTCTTCCTGCAGTTCCGTAACGACTTCGCCGGCCTGTTAATTAATAACGGTACAGTATTACAGAAAATAAATGAACACATTACACATTTATGATAAAAGTAAAATAATTCAAGAAAAAAAGAAACTGTTGTGAAGAACGAAATGTGGGTGAATTATAGATATAGTTTATTCTAATTAAGAATTGTGCTGTGCAAAGGTAATGCTTACCGTTCCAAAGATTTCATTTTCATTAGCTACGTATGGCGTTTCGGTGATTGGTTCTGACGATTGATCTTCCTTGGCCGATGCCTCAGACTCGCTGTCCGATGCACTGATTTCAGCATCAGCTACTACTCCATTCTCGGGCTGACTAATATCGTCCAGGTCTGTATGCGAGGTGTATACAGGATCTAGCGTTACTACTTGACGGGTATCATACTCTAAGACATGGACAGAAGGAACGGTCATGCGACGTGCTGGGGAAATTGGTAGATGAGATGCAGAGGCAAAATATGAGGAACCAGATGGCTGATTATCGCCACCGTCTGGTTCGTCATTGGGAATGGAAGATGCAACATTTTCTTGATCTGTGCCAGGTGTGGGAGATCGGTCAAGTAAGAGTTTTTCCCAATATGCGACTGCATAATAAAGATGTTGAAACATTGGGGTTGGTGAGGGGCAAACGCTTCTAAAATTGCGAGTTAAAGCAGGTGAGAGTGATTGCGGGCAAGATAACAGACGTCTCTGAGGAGTCGTAGGTGCTCTTGGGGCATAGCGACTTAAATATACTGTTGGTGTACAAAGCAGGATAGCAGACAAATAGAAAAAGAAGAGTAATGGTAAACGATCATTATTAATGTAATTTATAAATTTAAATATCTGAAATTACATTAATTCTTAAAAAATTTCAAAATTTCAAGATGGTCATATTTAAAAACGTAAAAATATTCCTATGCTAAATGTTCCAATACAAATCCGTGAATAATTTACAAATTGCTCTTGTCGTAGCGCCAATGAATTTCTTTGAGTTAAACAAGTCGAAAATAACGTTTTGCAAATTAAAGATTACAAATAGATCTCAACATTTTAATGCTCATTATCTTCAAAGAATCAAATTAAATGGAATTATAATTTTGGTACTAATTTTTTTAACATTTAAAATTAAAAAACAGCGAAATATATTGAGCCGTCAAAATCTCATTGAAGAAATTACTTATCAACTTATCGTATAATTAATCATTAAAGTTTATTGAACAACAAAGTTCGTTGGAACGATATTTTCAGACAAAAATTACATTTAAAAGCTAAAGGCAATGTACATAAACAGTTACATAACATTAGAGAAAATCTCATATGTTATTAAAAAACTTATTAATCCTTTTACGCGATTTTGTTTGGTTATATGAAACTGATAAAAGAAAGTTATTTGAAATTAATTAAATACTTTCGTCAATAGGGGTGCAAATTGACAAATCACCATGCATCATTCACAAATTGTACTTCTTAACAACATACTTTTCTAATTATTAAATATCTTTATAAATCCAATTCTCTATTTATACTGTTCTATCAAAAATATCGATTGCCCTTTCACCTTCTCTTGTTTCATATAAAAATTTCGATACGTAATAAATGTGTTATACTTGATAAATGTGTCAATAATATTGTTACGTTTATATTATATAGCTTTATATTTGAATTGGTAGCCAACAGTTTGCATTTTGTATAGCAATCGTTAATAAAATATGATTGTGTATAAAAATTTTATAACATTAATGTTAGTACGATGTTCTCCAAATCCAATGTAGAATAGATTTATTTTAATAGTATTAATAATGAGGCACTATTAAAGCATATAAAAAAACAGATAAGTCCAAGAATATTTTTACTATAAATAATTAACTTCAAATTGATTAATCCATGGATGAAGAAACATGCGGAAAGTTTATAAAATTCTAATATAAGCGCTACTACATTGTTCGAAATTCCATTTCGTAAAAGTTTCGTTTAAACGCAGGAAATTCCTTATTACAAATTACATTTAAATACCTTTTAAATATAGTAAGTAGGAAGGCTATGTCAATGATACTGACCATGATCATCAAAGTGCTTTTCATAATCAGCCTCGCTCCATTGAGTTTCATGAGTGGTGGTCGCATCGTGTGGCAAAGGACGCGGTAATGCGCTTGTCGAGCGCACTATTAACGAAGAACAGCGTAACGACAATTCAAGTGCGTCCAACCAACATTTGCCAGCCGCTTGGGACGGTGCTCGAAAGATTAAGTAAGATGTTGGCAAAGGCTGTACAACAGCACCTGGAAAATATTAATTTAATTATATAATTAAACTAAAATAATTTTTAAATAAAGTAAATAACTAACTCGTATATAATTATAATTCTTTGTAATTGTTTATAAAATTGTACAACGTACATATTTATCACACAATTGGATTATAATATAAAGCCAACGGCACACGACACTATTTTTCTTACTGGATTGCTTACGAGAGCCAATTAGGATTCAGCCTTAAGTCATCTGATTTAAAACTCTGCATCCTTATTGGTTCTCGTAAGCAATCCAGTAGGGAAAATAGTATCGTGCGCCGTTGGCTTAAGTATTATCAATTACAATAATGTGTGTGTGTGTGTGTGTAAAAAATTGCTACGTGCAAGAGGTGCAAGATATATATGTAAAATATGCATGTAACAGTGATACCAAGATATATATACCAATAGTTTCTTTCTCCGGCCCTCGAGGAGCCCATATAGATTGCTCCAAAGGATGAAATACTTTAAAACAAAATCCATCTTTCTTACTCGGACGTTCTATGACTTGACATGTATTGAGTAGTACCGTTCCCACCCAGTGGTTACTCTGTAATGAATATATAATCGTAGGATACCTTACAAGTAAGAAGGGCGCGATTGAAAAATGAGAAATGCAAATACGAACCTTTATTTTTGGACTTTTATACAGCAACAATAATCCAGGTTTCAGAATACACCATAGCTTGGTCCAACTTTTCAATGTGCCGCGAACTTTTAACCAGTCACTCATAACAATAACGGTTGGATCTCTGAAAGAACTTAAAAGTTCGTCGGCTACTCTTTTCTTTTCCATTCGATAATTCTTTCTCTGAGCCTTGTACGATTCCTTTCGCGTTAATTTGCAGGAATCCATCGACTAGAAACGTCATAAAAATGTTGTTCATTTTAAATGCATATTCAAATGAGAATGAACCATATCCTGTCGTATTTTAAATAATTAAAATGCAAAACAATAAGTGCAACCGAGAAGTAGATTTGATTTCTGAAGCAACCTCTATGATAAATAAATAGGGGATTATTTACCTTGTCTGACGAATTATCCATTTTTTGATTACCTTCGCCCATTCCAGAGATTCCTATAACATACACAATTTTGTGTAATTATGCTTAGCACAGTCGTAATTAAATGCCTACGCAGAATGTATACGTACAGTTTAGTCTTTAGAAATTTTCAAATTTTAGTATACTTAAGAAAGTTTATTTTTTAATATATCGTTACACTAATACTGTTACTTCGATCCATAAACGATCTGAATAAACATTTAGAAATGAGATTAGTGTCATATTAGTTTTAAAACACAATTTAGCATATGTAAAATTACATATTTCGTATATTGTATATTTTTATTCTGTTAACACACACAGCTTAAAGATATAATTTTTCACAAACCGGACAAGTTATCGATTCTTTTCATAAAACCAAATATTAAATCGCATATTAGACGATTTGAATTGAAGGATAAGACAAAACCCAAGTATTACATTTTTAGAGAGAAGTAATGCACACTCGTGCATTATGGAAATAAATAAAGATTACCACACTCTTTTTACAATAAAAGTGATGCAAATGTACATAATATGTTATTCCATATTAGTCTTATGTAAATGGAATCTTATGTAATCACGCATTCATCCAACTAAAATAGTACAAAATAACACAGACATTACGTTTTCTACGCCATCAGTGAACAAATCAAGATAATCCGTTGTTGTAACTCAAGAACAACAGTCAATGTTCAATTTAACATTTATTTCTATTATCCGGTAGCTTAATCAATATTCTTTACACGTTCCACATATTTGGGACAACTAAAATTTATAAAATATGTATTCCGCAAAAATATACAGGGCGATAATGTTCAACAGTGCATGAGAGGAAAATTATCTTGATTCGTGCTACGAGTTTATCACAAATGAGTTACAGTTATATCAAGTTGTTCTTTTCTTCTTCTGTTTAAATATACGTTTACTGACTCGTGGTATATACGTTTTTACGACTTTTAAACCGTATAAAACAAAGTATATGTGACACAGAAAAATCAGATTTTCGAAAATTATTATATCAAATCCGTTATTATGTTAATATATGCACAATGTACAGTGAGTTTTGCAAGATTCGCATCAAGTCTCGCACAAAGACGTTCAGTCGATTCTAAAATAACTTAAAATCTGTTATTTTTCCAATTTAGATCACGCGATCCAGTTGCAGACTCAAGCGTAATTATTCAAACATAAAAGAAATTGAACGTATCAACTTTCAAAGATGCAAACCAATTAGATATTATCGCAGCAAGTCATGCGCAGAAGGAAATACTCACTACCTCACGGAGACAGATTTAATGTAAGAAATCAAATTTTGGAAGGCAGCATGCAATATGTTTCCTCCGAAAGGACAAACACCATTTACCAGTCTATAAAGGTGTAATTAAATTTGACGCAAGCTCTCGTGAAACAACTCGTACGCTACAATAAACACTTCTACTGTTACATTACTACTGACATTGAGTTATATAATCAGATCAGTGTACACGCACTGTCTTACGTCAATGATAATTAGTTATTAGCTGAATAAACACTTCTCGCGTATCTCAAGCCTGTTTGACGACCAAGTCAAAAAAGTGCGGGCAATAAAGCATGAAAATGACGTTAGACGCACGTCGGGAGAAGCTCGAAAGTTTGCAAAGAAAAATTGCATGTAAAACGGGACGCAAACGTTCGGGAAAGAGAGCTACGCAAAGCCATACGCGGTCTCAGGCGATTTCTCTAGCGTGTCTACGTCTATTACGCCGCCAGAGTAAAAGCTGTACAACGCCAATGAAATTTTGGGAGAGCTACTTGCAACCGTTCAGAGTTATCCCAAACTATAGAGCAACGACGTTATTGTAATACACTTTCCAATATATTTCTGGGTTTATACCTGGAGAGACTGGAGGTGCACCGGCGGTAATATTTATGCTTGTCGAAAGGGACTCGGTTGATGGAAGTTTAGGTAATGGTGTAGACTGTGCTTGGACGCTGCCTCTTCGGGGTTGCCGGTCCGCTGGTTCTACATATTTAGCACTTATTCAATTGCACGCTCGATAATTCATTACCATCACACCTTACGTCTCACATCGGCTGCGTTCGGGGAGACGCTATTTAGCGCTATGAGCGTGCTCTGTTCTTGTTACTTGCAAGAGTTGAACAATGACAGAGCACGCTCATAGCGCTAAATAGCATCTCCCCGAACGCAGCCATCGAAACCGTTCTCTCAAACAAACTACTCTCGGTCGACTAGCCGGGATTCGTGTCCTCTACGTTTTACAAACAGGTGAGATTAACATACATAGGCGATGGAGGAGGAACGTCGTAACGTTATTACCCTTTGTGCGATGGACGAAATGACGGTTCGCGGCAAGACAAAAAAAAAAGAAAGAAAGAAGAAAAACCCGCGCGGTCGAATGAGATTATCGCATGTTTGTCTACTCCATTCGTCGCATATGTAATCGAAAAGAACGGGAAAAAAAAGAAAGAAAGGGGGACGTACATGCTTAATTTACACGTGCGCGATAGAGAACATGCCTCAACTTCGCGTTTTGCTACATGCAGCTAAGCGCGGATTGCACAGCGACATACATTTATACAAAAGAATGCAAATCCGCAAAACAATGTAATCAACAATACGTCATCGTCAAATAGCATTTTTCGCGCTTTCCATTCAGCGAACGTCGGCCTGTCCTCTTTCGACATCCGGCGAGCAACAGGGATAAAAGGATTTGCGTCAACTTGTGTCGGTAAATGGAAAGCACCGATCGTTTCCACGGATGTTTCGACGAGCGCGCCGGGCCTAATCTTATAACAATGCGCTCTCTGCCGCCAGAAACGTTCTATTCTATTTGCCAGCCGTTGGTCGTCATGCAATTTTTCTGCATTGTTTAATCAATTGCCGGCGTCGAATAATTCCTTACGTTCTGCATTATGTAAATTTATCGACTCGCACACATTTTTTGAACGCATCTATTGACTACAAAATCGAGCGTCTCTAGACGCAGATACAGCGCACGGTAGATTAGGCCTCGCGGCGTGCTACTAGATCATTAATAAAGATAATCTGGATACGTTTGCTGGTAAACACAGCCACACTTCTCTCCCCGTTGCCTCGTGCGTGTCGTGCTTTGTATATACATATGCGATAACAGCAGTGTCTCTGCGATAAAAAGAAACTCGTCGCGCGAAAGGTGTAATCCGGAGCATTGATTGAGCCCTCAGAGGATCCCCCGTTCGGGGGATTTCGTGGTGTGTCAACAAAACAGTAAAATCGCACGTCGTCCACGTCGTACGTGGGACAAAACCGGTGGAGAAATGGGTCGCGCACGCGAGTTACCATCGACAACAAACTACGGGCGCTTATACGTGGCAGTAGGGATTCCTGCTATAATATGAGAGAAATGGTTTGTTACACTCTCGCGTATTGATTTCCATTTTTCAGTCGGACGTGGCTGCGGTATGTATTTCATTCATATTAATAAGGCTGCCGCAACTGTGCACCTTCATTGTCAAGATTACTATGCGGTTTCATATATGAGATGTGTCACAAAACGGAGACACGCGAGCAATATATAAATATTCCTTCGATAAAACCGTTGTGTCAAACGTATTTCCCCTTCAAAGGGAATATCGAATTGTATTTAAGTGTACATTGTCACTTTCAGCTCGAGGGTCCCTTTAAAGTGTCCAAAATATTTTGGAAAAATCCATTTCCCTTGCGTTCAACGTAGTGAATTGGCAAGCTTCACTTTTAGCCCCGCCGACCGATGGTCCCTTTAAAGTGTCCACAATATTTTGGGTAAACCCATTTCCCTTGCATCAAGGCCCGAACAACACGCGTAGAAACCGAAGCAGCAAAACTCAAGACTCAAGGGAAATGACCAATGAGAGTCAAGAATGTAGGCAGCTATTTTGAAACTTGAGCAATGCTGAAAGTGCCGATAGTTCCGATTGGTTGAAGCTCTCAAGGCCCGGTTGCACCAACGTCATGGAATTTTAACTTTAGCTTAATTCACTCCCTGTCTCTTTCAAACTGTTTCCCTTAAGACCAAGTTCTAGCTCCAAGAAATGTGTAGCCAATCAACTTGCAGCTATTCCATAAAAGCTGCTCGAAACTAGAACTTGGACCAGGTTCTAGCATCGTGGACGCAAGCCTTGACATCGTGGACATGGGCCTTTAAACCGGATCTACAACAGGTGTAGTAAGCCTTAAGCCGTAAGAAATTGATCAATCACAGGCGATTATTCTGCTCACTTCAGACTGTGATTGGTCAATTTCTTACGGCTTAAGGCTTACTACACCTATTGTAGACCCGGCCTGAGCCCCAGTCTGCGATAGTTGATTTAAGCCCGAAGAAATTGTCAAATCACAGTCGAGTATTCTTCTCATTTTCGACTGTGATTGGTCAATTTCTTCGGGCTCAGCGCTTTAAATCGTCTATTGTAGACTGAGACTTTGTGCGGCGTCTACAATGAGATCTTCAAGACGTAAGATTTAAGAAAGTGACCTATCGCAATCGAATGCGAGGAGAATAATCGACTGCGATTGGTCGTTTTCTCAAATCTTACGTCTTAAGGATCTCATTGTACGCGGAAAGAATTTTCTCTTAAAATTTACCCCGAAAGTTATGTAATCGTGGGACAACATGGCATTTTGAAGAATTTTATGAGTTTTTTTACAATTTCTTAAATCTTAAATTTCTAAAATTCCTCAAATCTTAAATTTGAGGAAAAAATTGTCTCCGTGTAGACGCCGCATTAGAAGACAAAGAGTGAATTAAGCTAATTGTAAGATTAAAGTTAACCGACGTTGGTGTAACCGAGCCTTATGCGTCGTCTACAATGCATGGTGTAAGCCTGGAGTAAAAAGTAGGAGTAAGGAAATAAATCAATTTTATTTCTTCCTCCTACTTCAGCTCTTACGGTTACTCTCGGTGGATCAGAACGTCATCGGCCAGTGTTACAAATATTTTAAAAATTATGCCTGTATTTTAGTTTCCTTACACCAAAAGGTAAAAGTTACGGTCCTCTCTTACTCCTTACTTCAAGCTTACTCCACGTATTGTATACGACGCTATAGTCCTACTGCTTAAGTGTTTTTTTGTGCGTTTCCAGCTTTAACTGTATTGAATTGCATCGAAAGTTCCACCTTTAGCTCTGCCGATCGGGGATCCCTTGAAAATGTCTAATATATCTTGGGAAAACGCGCGAGGCTCGCGATCTGTTTTGTCGCGAAAATAAATACATCTCATTGTTGGGCAAACCCGGGTGCTCGCAAATAATGAACCGTAGCGCACAAATAGAAATGTCCCGGCCTGTGTGTACAAATACAGGCGTTATGTAAGTGTAAAAAAATTGCACGTAATCGGCAAGAGAGCGTTACATAAATCTGTTGGGCCTCGGGACACTAATGACAGGGAAATGTTCTGCGGAGCGACACGCCGCAATGACACGTCTATATTCTTAATTGACGTAGTTCAAGTGTCAATGGCAAGGTGCTGAAAATACGGTTTCACGAAGCTCGTGAATTTCCTTATAGGGAGACGCAGCTCTTTTTTTCTATCGCCCTCCCAATCTCACGTCTTCGAGTGCCTAGAGCCTAATCTACAATGCGCTTTCTGCATCTAATTGTAAGAAGCATTTTATTTTACGCAAAGCAAAACGCTTAAAAAAATTTGCCGACAATGTACAGCTTATCAACTTGCACAAATTTTTTAAACGTATTTACTGACCACAAAATAGAATGTTTCTAGACGCATTAGGCTTTAAGGCTAATCTACAATGTGCTCTTTGCATCTAGAAATATTCTATATATGTATTTGAGATAGAATGTTTCTAAACGCAACGAGCACATTGTAGATTAGGCTTAAAGCCTAATGCGTCTAGAAATATTCTATTTTGTATAAACAAATCGAACCGTTTAAAACCTTTGCCGACAATGTACGATTGTGCGGTGTATAACAATTTATCCACCTGCGCAAATTTTGAGATAGACTGTTTCTAGACGCATTAGGCTTTAAGGCTGATCTACAGTGTGCTCTTTGCGTCTAGAAACAGTCTATCTCAAAATTTGCGCAGGTGGATAAATTGTTATACACTGCACAATCGTATGTACATTGTCGACAAAGTTTCTAAGCGTTTCGATTTGTTTATATAAAATAAATGTTTCTATAACAAATAATAATACTAGGTGGCTCGTATCAGTTTAATAAATTTAAATAGGCCAATTAGTTTCACGAGCAACGTTGGTTTTAAAAGGTTTTTAATAGTTAATGTGCTATCATATTAGTCTTGACATTTAATACAGTAAAGAATCTAACGATATGTATAACGATCGTTTCGACATAACTTTGTCTTCTTCAGCGTGTACTTGTTTCAACTATAATAAGAAATTAAATATTACATGCCAATATTTGGTATGTGCAACTATAAAATCTTTGACGTTTAGAACTGTAAAGATTTTTATGTGCTATCTTATCGCTACTTGAAAGTCAGAACGATCCCACTTTTCGTGGAGAGATCAATTTCACTTCGTCAACTAAATGTTTCTAGACGCAACGAGCACATTGTGGGATCAGGCTTGAAGCCTAATGCGTCTAGAAACATTCTATTTTGTACAAACAAATCGAGCCGTTTAAAAACTTCGTCGATAATGTACGATTGTGCGGTGTGTAACAATTTATCCACCTGCGCAAATTTTGAGATATAATGTTTCTAGACGCCTTAAGCCCGTATCAGACTACAGACTCCCGACTCTGACCCGAATACTCGGACTTCCGACTCAGCGTTGGCCAATCATACTACAGGGACCTCAAAGTATTCGATAATATGATTGGCCAACGCTGAGTCGGGAGTCGGAGAGTCAGTAGTCTGATCAGAGTCGGGAGTCTGTAGTCTGATACGGGCTTTAGGCTTTAAGGCTGATCTACAATGTGCTCTTTGCGTCTAGAAACATTCTATCTCAAAACTTGCGCAGGTGGATAAATCGTACGGTGCACACTGCACAATCGTACATCGTCGACGTAGTTTTTAAGCGTTTCGACCCGTTTACACAGAGCGGAATGTTTCCAGAACGTATCAGGCTCACCCCGTGGACGGCTGCTTCCAATTCTATAATCTCTCGCGAGCCAAATACACTTGTCACGTCAAATAATTACGTTCGCTATTAAACAACGAGCGACAGCCCAGGCGCGCTATATGAATAATAAATCGACACCGCCGTGGCGTCTCGCGATAATTGAATTGTTTACATCCTGCGGCGTTACTGCACGCACGTCGTGACGCGCTATTACACGAATATATAGAACGTGTGACACGACAGGGACGGGGGGTGGGGTGGGGAGGGGGGAACGCGAGGCGGCACACTTACGGCTGAGGGAACGACTGACGTTCGGCGGTGTCATCGTCTTGAAGTTGTCCGCTGAACTCCCGACCGGCACGGAATGGGTCTCCGGCTGCGGACGTTGGTGCTCGCCGCCGGGCACCACGATCGGCTGCGAGCCGCTCATCGTACGGGTCTCTAGGATCGACAGTCCGCGTGAACCACGATCCCGCGCGGAGGACACGCGCTACATCTCTCTTCCGCGTCGGTCCGCGGCACGGTGGAGTGGGAAGAGGGGAGGGCGGGGAGGGGCAGTCCGTAAAGATAGATCCACGGGGAATAACAAGTCGCGCTGGACGAAGGATCGCCCGCGCGCGCGGAGGAACAGGCGGCCGCGCGTGTTTACCGAGTCGCACGTCCGGTCCGGCACGTATACAGACCGTTCAAAGGCGCGCGCGCGCGCGCGCGTGTGACGCGGCTCACCTCACGTCCGTTCGACAGACGGGACAGGGATACGTGTCAGTCGTCCATCGCGGCGGCGAATTACGCGGCGGAGGCAATTAGCGCGCGGCGCGGCGCGACATCGCGACGCGCCGTGCCGTGCCGTGCCGGCGCGGCGCTCTTCTCGCTCGAGTCGGTGCGCGGCTACACGCCGATCGCTCCTGCCCGTGGGTCAACCGCGCGTCGCAACGAGGCCGGACGAGATTACGACGTCGGCTCGCGGTACGGTACGGACGGTCGCCGCGAGGCGCGATCGCACACCATCGATCTACCCGCGCGCGGTCCACTCGTTCTCTCGGCCTGGCGGTTCCTGCGGGAGCGTACGAGCGAGAAGGAGAGAGATCGAGACGCAGAGAGAAGGAGCGAGTGCGCGTGCGCGCGCGCACACGCACGATGCCGACCGCGTCGCGACTGCAATGCAACTGCGCCTGGCCGGTCGAGCGCCCGCGTACGCGACTCCGACCGACGAGCTCCGAGCGACGGTGACGACGACGACGACTACGACGACTACGAGCTGTTTGCGCGCGGCGGTAACGTGACGACGCGCGCCACGCTGGACGTGGAACGTGGGGAGAGAAGTCGCGCCGCGCCAGCGCCGAGAGGCCCGCGTGCGCCGCCCGTCGGGCCGACGGTGTCGCCGCGCGCCGACGAACGGACGCTAACGCCTATCTCGTCGTGCGACGCACGACGCACGCGCGATTCCAGGCCCCGCGCACGTTGTTGCACCAGCACCGACTACCGACGACACGACTGCTCCCGATCTTTTTTTTAGTCCGCCGGATGGACGGATCTCTGGTCTCCGCTCCTCGGTGGCGCTTGGTTTTTAACGGACGGTCGAGCGCTCCGCTGGAATGTCCGGCGGTTTTTTTTTCTATTTTTTTGAGAGCGCAGTCGACCGTGACTGATGACATTTCGCGTGCGCCACTCGGATTGAACGTCCTTATCGCGCTTCGCATCCGCTGATTGACCTCTCGGTCTCTCTCTCTCTCTCTCTCTCTCTTCTCCTCCCTCCCTCCCTTCCTCTCTCTCTCTCTCTCCCTCTCTCTCTCGTCCGTTCCTCTTCCGCCCTCTCTTGCTCAGCTCTTCGGACCGATCGATCGTTGATATACGTGTAAATTTTTAATAATCGCGGCTGCCGCGACCGCGCCCCACCCACGGTCGTTCTAATATTAACGTGACATATCCACCTTAATGCCCGCTTCTCCGCCTCCGCCTCGGTATATGTTGCATACAGAGAGGCGTATTGTAATCCTAAAAGAGAAACGCTAATTCTAGGCTGGTTAAAACCGGCGGTCGGCGCGACGGTCCGCGAACTAGCGCTTCGTTAACCCTGGAATTCTATAATGGAATTTTCTCTCTATCTCTCTCTCTCTCTCTCTCTCTCTCTCTCTCTCTCTCTCTCTCTCTCTCTCTCTCTCTCTCTTTCTCTCTGGGCCGCGTCCAGCGAGCGTTCGATCGCGAGCTGTTGGGGAAATTTGTGCGAGCGTAAGTTACATGCGTGCTCCGAGCAAATTCGGGGCCATCTGGCTCCGGATTTAACGAGTTCATTTCGCGTGCAGGCTTTCCCTCGATTTTCCCTCTCTCTGCTCGCATTATACGCAGAATGTAGCGAGAAAACGAGAGAGAGACAGAGACAGAGAGAGAGAGAGAAAGAGAGAGAGAGAGACAACGAGTCGATAACTCCGCGTCGCTCAATCTCGCACTTCATCGACACATTCTGCAAATTAGTCCACATAAATCAAACGATCTGCGCACTACGTTTTTTTTTATAGCGGCGTTCAATATATAAAACTCGACGCGAATATACCTTCTGCGCATCGGCTTAGCGCGTTATCTCGCGCTCGACGCGACTTCTTGCCCGTAATGCAAAAAAGAAAGACTCGACTCCGTTTTCCTCGCGTCGCTCTGCGTTTTTCTTGCCGCAATCGACGCGCAACCGGCTCGCTGCGGATGCAGGAGGGAAAACAAACAGATCGCCAAGCGACCGCCCTGGGATACATTTTGATAGCGTTTCGCATGTTCTATTATCGGGCCGTCGGTGCCCGATGCAACATATACGCGTCGGGTATTACTTATTCATTAAAGTGATTAGGGCAATTAGACGCTTTACGTAAGCGCCCGGCATCGTCGCGATTTACGCGCACTCTTCTGCTCCAAGATACTGTGCATTCACTTATAAAGTATAATAATCTACGTCTGCATTTACATGGTGAATGTTTAACGTGTCATAACAATGAATAATCCGTGGACCATCGAGCACTCATGTTTCGGCAGGAATTTTTACATCTTGTTTGCAATTTTAGTTTCTGTTGCCACTGTCCGGGTTGGGCGCAATTTTTAGCGTACGTGCCACGAAAAATTCATAGATCGGATCAGCGTAAGTGGAGGAAAGTTCCCTATCATGAGACAGCGGAGTTGCTGCTAAATTAATAGGCATCATCTGGTGGTTCCGCCATGAATTTATTGCCCTTGGAGAGGAATCTCTTGTTTAGTGGAAGAAAATTGACTGTTGGACCGTGCAATCGTTGCGAAAAAGGATTTGTGATTGAATATGGTTGAAAACCTGCAATCTCGTATTGGATAGAATAGAGGACTTTCCTCTGCTAATAATATTTCTGCATTAGTGTAACCTTTACATCACCGTACAGTCAATTAATAAATTACAACTGAATTGCATCTACCATAATTTGATATTTCGCGTTCTTTTAGGGCTGTTTGCGAAGATAGTTGAAAAGTTTAAAAAAAGAATCGATTAATCGATCAAATATAGTAATTTACATCGTACCGTTTACGTGAAAAAGGGCTCGTAAATATAATGCGAACAATATGTAAAGAATCCATGTGGATGTAATCTTGAAATTCACGGCACGGCCGCTCCGCTGCGCAATTCTCATTGAGCATGCACCTTGTCCAGTCGCGACGCGTTGTGATTGGCCGCGCGAATTCCCGATCGCAACCCACGACGCGACGTTCGTACTTTGCGTGCATGTGTAAGCGGCTTTGTGCGCCCTTCACCTTTCTCTCACCTAATCTAATTTCTCCGTAATAAAAGGTTTAATTTTACGTATGTACGTAGGTCTACTTTTATTTTAAGTGTCAGAAATGTGTACAGCGCGATGCAGCTACAAAGAACAGACCTAGGGCGTAACGTTTCCATTAATTCCGAATGCCGCCTCGTTTTTAAGGCAATGGCCAAGTGGAGATCTGCCCGAAATAAAAAGGGATATAATCGCTGACGTCACTTGCGCTGTAGATTATGTTTGTTCAAGTGGATTTTTATAATGGCTGCTTCACTCGCGTCGAGGTATCGACACAGCCGTCGTGCGCAATGGATGCGTTTTGTTTTTTTAAATAATTGTTATTACGCAATCATAGATTGAAGATGGGAATACCGAAGCAATGCGGTACCGTGTTAAATTCAGTCTTATTTCAATGACTGCTGTAACAAGTGACAATGGCCAAGAAGTTTAATAAGATTATCCGAAAAGTTTTAAATAATTAAATAGATTCAAGGATTCTGTCCCCGACACGTCTCTATTTATTTTTTATATTTACTTATCGGTCAAGTTTCACTTGTTGTTAATTAAATAAGTTTTAACACTAAGCAAATAGAATTCACAAGGTTCTGACGTGAAATCGCAAATACGAAGTAATAAAGGATATAAGAGCCAAGGCAGGACGTTGGTGTCTAAATGATTTCACTTTTTAAATTTGTCGCGAAAAATTTACCTCAGCCAGGTTTAAGACTAAAGTCCTTATATAATTAAAGGTGAAAACAATTATAATGTAAATTTAAAGAGCAAATAATCGATCAACGTTTAATGTATTCAGTAAACAAAATGTTAATGGTACAGTACCGACCAAAATTATATCACCTTTAGGTATTCTGAGCATAACTTTCGTCGAAGTGCATCGAATGTGCTCAAAGTTTTACAGTAGACACCTGACAACGGGTGCATCTTGTATACGAAGGACACTGAAATTCAAGGTTGGGAAAGTTACTTTATAAAAGTGTCTATAGTTACAGTTACAGTCTTTTCGCTAAAAATGTGACTAGTTACAGTTACAAGTTACCAATTCTAAAAAGTAACGCGTTACAGTTACTCCAAAAGTAACGAATCGTTACTTCGCAGTTACTTTCTTGCAATGAAAATAAAAATATCAAATCTGCATTTGAATTGTGAAGCGTCGATAAAGGCGTTTATGCGCAGATGCAAGGCCTAATACAATCTGTGGAGGTTCAAAGTATATATAAAGTAACTATTTATGTAACTATTAAATTAGTTATTGGTTTTCGAAAAAATGTGACTAAGTTAAGTTACAGTTACAGATGAAGAGAAAGTAACGAAGTTAAGTTAGAGTTACCAAAAAAAAGTAACTGTAACTGTAACTTCGTTACAAGTAACGAGTTTTACTTCTCAGCCCTGCTGAAATGATTTTCGAATTTTTCACTCGTGCACTTTAAAATTAGTTATGCACAGAAAATCGAAAGGTGATACATGTATATGTAATTTTGGCCGGTACTGTATATACATATTAACAGTTTGGTTTCGGTAGATTCGAGCAGATTATAAAAACTGCGGTTTGTATTGCAAATCTGTGACGTCGGAGCTCTCTTGCGTTTGGGTGAGCGAGAGAGGAGAACGAGATAGAAAGGAAGGACACTCTGACGTCTCAAATTTGCAATGCCGAAAACGCAGCTAACGTATATTCGAGCAGAATATATAATGATGATGTCATGACAGATAACATTAGCCGCGTTGGCTTTAAGTTCACGTTATATCAGCAGATCCTGATGAGATAGGATCTATAATTTACCTTCTTTCGTGATTTATTGTTGGTACTGTGAGGCCCGGTTTGTAATTTTCTCGTTAACTGTTCGCCAGAAGTTAGTCGACTCTCCATCTTTTTCTACGTTATTATCTAAGAAGAAACAGAGATTCGGCTAACCTCTGGTTAACAATTATTGCATATGATGCCAACATACAAAAATTTTTGTATCTCAGAAACGATTGAGTTTTCGACCTATGTTTATTTAGGTTTTTTTACTCAGTATGGCGTGTCCTATCTACCATATAAATATTGAATGGTTTTTTTAACACCCTGTATATACATATATACATATTTATACATTTTTCAAGTATCTACTTGAGTGTCAAAAAATAATTTGTTCAAGATTGTTTTAACGTTGCAGCAATTATAAAGAATTAATGTACGGACGTTAACCTGGATTCAACGTAGAAAGGATATTTATACTTCAACATTCAACATTGCAACGTTTCAGCAACATTATTTTAACGGTGTAGAAAAAAGCTGAATTAAAAACTTGCTTAAGGTATGACAAAACATTTTTTTTGTGTTATCTAAGAGTGCCCTAACAAATCCTAAAAAAATTTATTTCATTGTACGGTGTATTTACTGGTAAAAAAAAATGGTTAAGGATGAGCGTAGTTTTTGGGCCGTTAAAGTGAAATGACCCCTTAAACACGTTAAAAGAGTCGAGCGCAAACGCCAGGTAACTCCAAAATGGATGTACAAAGCACATTTCGTGGCTCGACGCTGTCGAAGCGCGCCGGGGTGGCCGGCTTCGGATGCGCGTTTCCGACTGCTCCGCGGAGCGGAAGCTGGCACGGTGTCACCGCGCGCGCAAATCGGCGCGATACAAATTCAGTCTGCGTCTGCCTCCGTCCGCGTGTCGGTGGTGTCGTCGTCGGTCAACGGACACGCGGTGTGCGCGGCGTCTGGCGGCGTCCAACCCCTCCACCGTCAAAGGGCTCCTCGGTCGGCGCGCGTCGCGCGTCGCCGGCTCTCTCGAGTCTCGAGCGCATCCGGACACTAGTCCAGTCGCAGAGCGATGGCCGAACGGTGCGCAGGCGAACAGGTATCCGCGCCGGCGTGTGCCGCGAGGAAGGCGCCGCCGGCGACCGGCAAGCCACTGTGCTGGCAGCACCGGCTGTTCGGCAAGCAGCTCGCGCGTTGCGGCCACGCGACTAATGACACGATGAAGTCGATCGACGCGACGGCGACGCTCGTCCACGAGGACGGCCGGCCGGCCTGCGAGATCGTCGGCATGTACTTCAGCTTCGTGAATCCTGGCGCGACCTGCGACGACTTCACCCGCCAGCTAGTCGACCTTTACGCGAGTGTCAACGGCGCCGGCGGTGACAACAGGAAGAGATTCGAGGTGGTGCACGTGGTACACTGGAGCAACATGACCGACGTGCTCGACTACGACGAGAGCTTCCGCGCCCACGTAGCCGATCTACCCTGGCTCGCCGTGCCGAACCACGACTACGAGAGAAAGGTGAGAGAAAGCGTATTTTTCCCCTGTGCTTCGGCATGAGCCGTCCTTCGCAATTTATTGTTCTACGCGTTTCCCTCCGTTCACCCCGAAAAACCCCTTTTTCTCTCGGACCCCCGGACCACCCATCTGCGTTTTCCGCTTTTGAACATCGCCGCGATGACGTATACGTGACCGTCACGTGGTGTTTCGCACGGTCGTACCTTTGTCGGCATTCTCGCATTGTTAACCATTGAAACGTTTCCGATTAGACCTACGATGATGTTTGGAGGAAAAACCTTCAAGTATTAAGTCTGACAATGAGTTACTGTCGTCCGGTCTGTGGTGGTTCGAGCCGAAACTTGGCTGTGAGAAATTCTTCCGCTTATAACTGTCTTTTTTTGTCATTCCGTAAAATAAAACTTCTGTAATTCGTTTGAGCGGCCTGGCATTCCGATTGAAGCGCAAGGATAAAAAGTACACCTCCCGACTGCCCTTCTTGCGCGGGAGAAAGATTTCGTCTTACGTTCTGTTATTTGGGAGAAGCCACGTAGAAAAGAATCACATTACGCATTTCGCAAAAGAACGGTGCTATTTAGAACATTGTTAATTTTATATGGTTTCTTCACATCGCTACATATTATTATTCGCTTTTTTTTAACGTGTAAAATTAAAATTAAGATCTGTACTTATATGTATACACGAGAGATCACAAGAATTGTTTCGAAAAACCGCGCAAGGAAGGCAGTCGGGTGTAACGTTTGCCGCTGTGTCTAATAGTAGCAATGTAGACAACAATTATGTAATTTAATAATTTGAATATATTAAAAAAATTTTTAAGGCCAATAGTGTTCCGAGCAGTGTTCAGTTTAATATAACAATAAAATTAGGACGTTTAATAATTGAACGCATAACATAGTTATCTTACTCTAACTTAAAATATAAGATGACGCGTTTACCTAACATCTAAAGATGTAATAACAAAAAAATTAATATTAAAATTTTTAAGTAACAGTTTAAATTGACGAGCGTTTTACCACAAATTATTGGACAACGCTTGGAAGAGGAATTTCTTACAATTGAATCACAAGTAATATTTATATTATACACCATTGTACACGTGCGCCAACATCTTCGTACACTCATTACCAATAATTATATTATTTTAGGGACAGATCCGCTGATAAAGACTAATTGTAAGTAAAGTCAAAACGTTCGTCAATTTGAACTGTTACTTTGAAATTTTAATGTTAATTTTTTGTTATTACATCTTTAGATGTTAGGTAAACGCGTCATCTTATATTTCAAGTTAGAGTAAGATAACTATGTTATGCGGTCAATTATTAAACATCCTAATTTTATTGTTATATTAAACTGAACGCTGCTCGGAACACTATTGGCCTTAAAAACTTTTCACGTTTATTTCATTTTAATTAAGACGATCGAGCTTGCATTAATTTCTTTATGAATATATAATATTTTGTTAGAAATTTTAATACAGCATTCTCTCCGCGCAGGGTTTACAACGCACGTTCTTTCTCGAAATGAAGAACACGTGCGGTATGTACAGTCTCATTCGTTAATGCCTGGACCGTACTTTCACTAGGATTCACATTTCCATAATCTTTATTCCCATCTATACATCGATGGGTTTCAAGCTGTGGTTCACACAGCTTCTATAGAAGTCGGCGGTAGTCATAGACGTATGATATATAGACTGCGCATTTTGGCTGCAGAAGTGCACAAACTTTCGAAAGAGACAACGCACTTTGAACAGTACCGCCTTATCCTTTATCCTCTAACATTCCCCTATTCTTCTGTTACCCCCACTACTTCGCTAGACAAAGATGAGGCTACACTGTTCAACACCAGCTAACCCGTTCTAAAGTTTGTACATGTTTTCACACGGGTGAGATAGGAAACGCGCAGTCTATTCTTACTATGTCTTAACCCGAGGGGGAAACCGCTGGCCAAAATTTTGTACACAAATGCCCACTAATGCCCAGTGGGCATTACATTATCTTATTTTGTCTTATTTATCTTGTTTTATTTTATTTTATCTTATTTTATCTTTACAATGCTCCAGCAAGGCCTAATGCCCAAAAATGCCTAGTAATGCCTAGTAATGCCCAGTAATGCCGCAAATCTGTACACTGCAATGCCCTCAGCGGTTTACCCCCTTCGCGATATTTTGGCTAGTCTCGCAATCGGATAGATTTATGTAAATCATGCATTGCCGAGGTAGAAACAGTTCGAGCAGTTCATATAATTAGAACGGGATCAACGATCGAGTTGTTTGATCGATTCATGGTTCCGCGACGATCCGACTCGATGTTAACCGCCGCAAAAATAGTATAAGTATATATAATTTATTAACTTCAGCTTACAGCCAAGAAGTGGACTTGGTTTACAATATATTCTTAACTCATTCATTCTTGCACACTTATTTCCATCCTCCCTATTTTCATCCTTGCATGTTGCGACTAGTATTTCTAATTGCTTTATTTACTTACTTAGTTTACTTGTATTTGAAACATAAATTTGACAATTTTAAGCTTAGCTTTAGTGTATGTTAAATTTTTGGTTTATTTGTACTTACACTTGTGTGGATTGTAAGATACAGAATTGACCCCCGGATTCAAAGTGATCGATTAATTAGGCTCGAAAGATCCGAAAGGTTTAAATTTGAAAGACAAAATGACTCGAATTATTCGGCCATCAGGAAAGACCGGGTATTTGAAAATATCTTCTTTTTGCAGCGAAAATTTTGTGGACGCCCATCATTTCTCGAACTTCAAATTATCACATATAGAGTCCGGTGTCTTGAAAGAAGAAATAGAGTTCGGATTAAAATACTGCTAAAACTAATTAATAAAAGAAAGATCGTCGTTTACTTCACGTCTTCAATATTTAATTCGCGAGCTAGTCTTCAGAATTGCGTAAAAGACCATTTTTCTCACTTTGCAGTATTTGCGATTGATATGATATGCACGGCGATCAGAGATAATGAGGTAAAAATGCAGACATAACGAGCTTCTAATTGCGCCCGCCCGACGAACAAAACGACAGAGAAAGAGAGCAGGGGAGGGGGGAGGAAGCGAGGTAGAGAATGCCAAACGTCTGTATACCGTAAACATCGCCGTGGGCGGCGATTTTGGGAATTGCATGCACGCACGCACGCACGCATGGAACATCATTCCCGCTGGGGGCGACAACGCACAACGACCTCAGTTTTTCATTCCAGTCGCAGGCGTTTTAACCCTTTCGCGCGCACAGTCGCGCTATTTAAGGCCCGAATATTATTCGCGCGAACGCGTCAAGCGGCGAGGGGGAGGAGGGAGGAAAATCGGTCGCGTGGCACGAACGCACGCACGCATGCTGAGTCCCTCCGAGGTGTATTATTCACCCGCGTGATCCTTTTACCATTATCGCTCGCCGATGGGTATCATCGTCGATGCGGAGGAAAGTACCGCGACGAAGGAAACTACGAGAATGCAGCTTGGAAGAACGAGCTCGCGTGTGACTCGGATGAGAGGTGGCGTGTGATGCCTCGAATGTAACGAGGCGTTTTGCTGCGTGCCGTACAGCGCGTTGTATTTCGAATTTTTCCTCGCTCGTGGGGCACTCGAAAAATTAGAGAGTGGCGAATATTTGACAATAGCGCCGGCAGAAAGCGTAACTGCGCAAGCGGAGCGTCGAGTTTTCTCCCGACGAGGATTTTCTCGAACGTCGCTCGCGTGGCCGGTGTCGCGAGAAACGGGACACGCGTGCTGATCGAATTTTTGCAGAAGCACGCTCCGAAATGTTTCTCGAGATGAGATTGCCTTAGCTTTTTGTATGGACGTTGTTAGTTAACTGTACGATATATCATCGAAACTTTCGGTTTATACACGGAGATAATTTTCTTTTAAAGTTTACCCCGAAGATCATGTAACGTGGGACAACGTGGTATTTTGAAAAACTTAATGAATGTTTTCCAAAATTTTACCATGCATTTTACTAGTAGAGTGCGTGGTAAAATTTCAAAGAACCCTCATAAAATTCTTCGAAATGCCACGTTGTCTCACAATTGCATGACTTTCAGGATAAATTTTTAAGAGAAAATTCTCTCCGTGTACCTTAACCGTCGTTTATTATGTCAGATTAAACGCGGAGGACATTTGAAATGTTCGCATGCCACTGAAGAAACGCTGAGCCGATTTGCATTTTGTCCAGCCGGGGTACTTTAGGCTCATTTATGTTTACAATAGAGATGTACACAGGATACGTTTAATCCGTCTCAATTGCGAGGAGGCCGTAAGATGAATCTCGTAATCAACATCAAGTAGCATCGCGATTGGTGCTCGATCGTTAATTCCACACTTAAATCAATCTTGAGAGCGTCTCGCCGTAATCGCGAGTGCTTTATAGTCTTTCGTCGGACGAGAGAAACGGGGCTAATTGACGACCTAACAGAAGCTGAAGATTGATTTTTTTTATTTGGGATGCCCTGTCGTGCAGTACGGTGCGTTAAATTCGGTTCGGGTAATAATTAGGGATCGACAGAAATTACTTGATTATTTAAACATAGATGCTTTTTGACAATACGAAGCGAATTAATTAATGCACGCTGTACTGTTGTGCAGAGTACAACAGTAAAGTACAACGACGTGCGATCGAAACTGCCTTTTTTCGAAATAAATCATCTCTACAGCGAATCAACTTTGATACATTGCATTTTATTTTGCTCGCGCGTTTTAAGCCTCAATGAAATCGCGAAAAGACACGCGTGGTTTATCGCGTCGGTTATCAATGTCGGCCCGCGGTCATTCGCCTTTTTCGCACCTCAGTTGCTACTCCAGTTTCTCCATATTCCTATACGGAAGAAGAAAGCCCGGTTACACAACATCTGAGAGATCCGTTGCTTCGACGTTTTAATCAGCGAGGTTGCTTATAAACTCGGGCATTTTTTTTTTAAATCGCCTCGTAGAGAAACGCGCGTCTTTATCCGCGGGCAACGCTAACGAGAAAGTCACTCCATGAGG